GACACAGATAAGCATCTCTCCGAAGAGATAGCATTCCAACTCCTGCCAAGAATCCCGATCCTTGCCCACGCGCATATGTCCATGAAGACGCAGCTTGCCAAACCGTTGAAACTCAAGGCCATGCCAATTGTCGACCCTGTTGCGCAATTCCTCGGCCACTTCTTCCAGATTCTCCGTTTGTTCATACTGGATTGATCGAGCGTCTTGTCCACCGAATCGTCCCGCGTATGGCCCATCCGGCTGTGACTGTCCCGAAGGCGTATGTCGTAGATCATCCAAGTCAGGACGCCAATTGGCATCTGGAACCTCGACCGTAATTAGACATGTGAGGGTCTGCTGTTGACGGGATCGGTTCATAGTCGGAAACTCGCTTCGAACAGTGACCATCGGCGCGGGAATAGGATTCTTTGCGACTCCGGGGCGAGGACTGAGGTCTGATTCCATAGCTTGAACATCGTAATCATGGCGCCGCCCACTGCTAGTGTGCTGGCCTTCATTGTATTCCCCCGATGAGCCGGCCGCGCTCCCATTCCGGGAGTGGGGTTGACGAGGATTAGAGCCCATAGTCAATCGCTCTACGCGCTCGCGCTGGCTACCAGTATCACGGCTATCCCGTCGATTATGGGATGGATCTCTCGAGGGGTAGGATGGGTCTTTTGCTGAGGGGTTGTAAGATGGTTCCCTCGCTGAAGAGGTGTAAGGTGGTTGCTCTCGGGTACCTGAGGTGTAACGGCTGCCGGAATCACTGGGTGGTCGTCGACTCGACACCTGCTCCCACGGAGTAGATGGGTTTGACAAGCCACTGCGTACTGTAGCGGTATCATGCGACGTCACTGAACGAACAATATTACTGATTTTTTCTAAAGAGGCGGGGAATAACATTAGCCTTCTTCCTCTTAAACCCCGCACGAGGGACATACCGATATCCAAAACATTTCCACCGCGGCTTGTGTCCAAGGCCAATGGCGCATTGCAGGTTGGGCAATATTGTCCATCGCATTCCCGCAGAAACTCATAGAAACAGGCCTCGTGGGAGACATGGGAGCACGAAAGCTGCAGGACACGCTCGCCGCGCAAGGTATGCTCCAAGGGTTCCTCGCAAACGGCGCATTCAGTCCCAACAAATGTCCTCTCCCTCCGTGTGTGGGTGCGATCTACCTCCATGGGGCCGGTGGTTCGTCCCGATCTTGAGTTAAATGATGCTCGTGAGCGATTTGAATGCACAGGTTGACCAGCGAGGTCTGGATAAGCAGAATGAATCGACCCAGAAACAGTTGAGGGTGCTCTTGGCCGGGTGATATCGGTCTGGTTGGAAAAACTGCTGCTAGGTCGGTCGATTACGCCTCGAGTGAATGAACGAAATGAATGGAGAGGTGAACGAGAGGATGGCGATTGAAATTCTGTACGTCACAGATGGTCAGCAACACCCTTCAAAACTAATTGGTTGAAGCTATTATGTAGAAGCGCAAGTGTTGAATATGTGAATAGAAGAGAGAAACCCCCAAAACAACACTTCAGGGGAGAGCACTTTTAGCCGCTCATGGAGCATCTAGAACAGACCCCAATAGGTCTCAGGCGTAGATTTGATCCACCGGGCAATAAAAAGAGACTTACTTTTGGACTTTTTGGATCGACCTAGGAAGCCCAGCTCAGATAGATGATGTTGAGTTGAGTCGTTCCCAGAGTTGTCCTCCGATCTAGGTGAACGTTTCCACATCGACTCAAAGGGAAACAAAGAGGTGGGGTGGGAAAAAAGAAGGGGGAAAAAAAAACCAAGAAAGGAGACAAAAAAACTAATTCAATAATAATAATAATTACCCCCAAATATAATAATAATTAAATTCAGTTTTTTTTTTTTTTTAAAAAAAAAAGAGAAAACAATTGTATGGAGTATACAAGAAAAAAGATTGAAGATGCATAAGGGGGGGTTCTAAACATTTACCTAGTCAAGAACACATGGGAACTAAATAAGAAGGTAAAAAAAAAAAATACAATAGTTCCACTTGGGACCATGGATATGGAGTGGAGATCCCCTGAATCGGGATTTTATTAGTTTAATGTTACAATTATATCTACTACAATATATATCCATATGTACGGACTCCGTACATATTGTAGGAATATGTACATGTGCATGTACGGAGTACATGTAGATCTATTCTATACTGTTACATTGCATATATAAAAGAGTTACTAGTAAACTGTTATAGCCTCGGTTCTTCATCGGACATCCGATCGGCTTTACAATCCATTTAGGGGATTAGATCCTAAAATCAGATTTAATTTATGGGGATCTTGAGTAATATTATTTTATTAACCTTTTTTGACTTACACTATGTATTAATAGTTAAGTCCATGGGTCTTAGGGTAGTTCCAGCTCTGGAGCTATATAGGTTCTCCAGATCAATTCAAGGACTCAATATTTTGGTAAACCTTTAAAAACCTTGGTACGGAATAATTTCTTGGTGATAACAAGGTTGGCTCGTGGATTTACTTCGGATCGGATGAACTTAAATATCCGCTCAACAATGACACTGCAAATCATGCTAATATAATCATCCAGCGTATATCCACTCCATATTGGCTAAGGACCACGCTCTTGTGGCAAATTTGTCTGTCGATCCTCCAACGGGTTCCCCTGTCAAAAGTCTTCTCTAGAGAACTTCTTTTTTGGTATTCTGCAAATGACGCAGTTTTCTTCAAGTTCTAAAGTTTGGCTCAACGCATCTGTTAACCCTTTTTATGATCCAGATCGACAAAATAGGTCATCTTCGGGTGTCCAACGGAACGTCTAGATGCACCTCCGCAGTGTTGATCGTTCCGGAGATTTCATGCCAACATAGTACACCTAGTGTAATCCATACCCCATCGGCAGCTCCCTATATTTCACCACAATTTTGGTCAATATTAGCCTAATTAGGACTCGCTTGCGCTTGCACTGCTGATCTCCTTCTTCACGTCTGCATTCGACACCGGCGGGTCTATTGTATTCGTACTACTCATTAGCGCTTAAGCATTTGACTTGCAAATAGGAGAGACGGAGAAATTTATTTGCACATCATTAGCTTCAGCTCCCCGTTTATGGATCATACATGCCGTTGCCGAGGTGGATGCCCATATCGTTTACGCTGTGATCGACATACTTCTGCTTTTTTTTTTGGCATGCAGAGAGTCCGTGCTCGCTTTAGCTACTGCTCTATTGTCTCAGAATGCTGGCTTGTCGAATCGCGAGTACTCCGTATCAATTGTTTGGATCCCGGAGGCTTGACCCAAAATGAGCCAGTAGATGACGATTGGCAACGCCCCTTTTGAGGTGGGGTTTTGATATTGGATCTATCACAAACTATGTGAGCCCCTGGTCTGCATGTCAATCATGACTCGGAGAATTACCATGTAGGGTAATTGAGACTACAAACTTGACTGGTTACAAATCCTCGTCCCTAGAGCTGTCAAGTCTAGGCATATGGAGATATCCACATGTGGACAACTCTTTCTGACAGCTTAATGACCGGTTGACTTGGCATAGACCGTAGAATTAGCACATCCGTTCGCAATCTTACAATAATATGTGCTATTTATCTCCAAATTGTTGTTTATAGTCTCAATTTTTCGCTCAGTACAGAGTACTCAGCACTATGACCTAGATATACATATGTAACCGGCCATAGATCATTCAATGATCGTCACCGTTGAAAGTTCACAAAGCGGAGATACTAATGTAAACACAGTCTAACTCGTTTAGGATGTTGATCCTTTCCTCTCAATTCTGCAGTGGCAGAGTACATAATCAAACCAGTGTTTCAGAGTACGAGCAGACGCTTTTGAGGAATCACACTTGCAACTTTGCCAGTTACGAAATCACAATGAGCTCTACGATGTAGCATTATCCTACTTTGCCCATGTCTTTTAGCAATGCAACCCTTTAATCTTTTAACAGTTGAATGCAGCTGAGTGCATTTTGACATGCATTTACATGCAGGTCTTATTGGTTGAGATAACCCCGGGACCCGATGATCTCTATGTTGAAGCTGCATAACAGACTCCAGACCATGAAATCTTCAAAGTTCAGTAAATGCAGTAGACTGAAAACTCCCAAAAAGGGACATTACACACACACACACACACACACACACACACACAGATTGGCAATGGAAGTGGATTGTTAAATCCTTTGAATTACCCCTGCATCCTCACACATCTGACACACAAAATAGGTTCGACACCAGGACCCCCTGAAACACCCCTGAAACAGTTCTTGTCTATAACATATGGGATATCGCGAAACCAAGCAGAATTTTTCGAGCAAGATACCTTCTGCCCGGACTAAGGGTTAATGACAGCCGTCTCGGCTGAATCAACTTGGTGTTTCAGGTTTATCACTTGAGGCTTAAGGTCACGGCCATTACAGTAGGAAGAATGAAATGGTAATATAAGTTAATATAAGCTATGGATACAACCCAATGTGCGAACTGATGGAGAAGTGGGTGGTTTATACAACCCACTTCAACCTACTGATAACGGCTCTTCCCTACATACTCCGTATCATTTTTTTAAGATTCATCACTTTAGTACATTCGGGTAATTTTGGATATGTCTTATCATTTGCGGGGTCTAGATTACTTCGCATATTGATATATCTGACATGTATCAACTTACGATGAGTCTTGAGTTCATATGCACCATGTATCTGTTCTTACCTGTGCTCAACGGCCCTGTTTTAATTGGCCCGAATATGCACACACCCTACCTACAATATATTGCATCCACTGATCGGCATAACAGTCACGAACGCTTGTAAATACTCCGAAGATGTTGTCCGATTGGTGCGTATGTAGAACTGGATTGTCTCATAGCTAGCACATAGGGGGGTATAGGATAAGATATCATATTTTCACTAATGGTGTCTATGTTGTAGGACTGGTCTAAAAGCTTATATAGATCTGCAGTTGTAAAATGCTCAGATATGGTCGGGAAAGTTAAATATTATGGGAAATGACTGTTTAACCCCTATGATCTTCGATTTTCACACTTGCACCTTTGTGAATCAGATAACGAATAACCGCATCTCTTTTAAGAGCCACTGCCGTTTGTAGAGGGGTTTCCATCATGAAAGGAAACATATTCCGAGAATATTCATGGTCTTCATACATCAGAGAATCTAAAGAAGCACCCTGATTAATAAGGATTTCGATAATTTTGAGGGTGTCGTTGTCAAACTCTCGATAAATCGCATTGTGTATAAGCTGGCCCATTCTCACATCACCACCACGTCGTAGGAGAAGATCAACGGTTGCCAAATCGGCAGATCTGACAGCATAGGAAAGCGGGGTGTTATCGATATGACATCGCCTATTAGGATCCGCGCCACAATCAAGGAGCCATGTTGTCATTTCTAGGTCCTCGAGAGCGTTGCTAGAATGAAACAATTTAGCCCCGAACTTTTAGAAGAAGATAGATTTTCTCACGCAAGCATAGGCGGTTCCATGATACTCAATGGCTTATTAACGTCCCAGCCGTTATCGAAGAAAGCCGTTATGATATCTTTTGCCTTTGCCTTGACAGCTTCGAGGATATACATCCGCGAGACAGGTATTTTACATCGGAGTAGCTCTTTTACGAGATACACCCTGTTTGACCTGATAGCATCAAGCATAGCCTTATAGAAATGATGGATTTCACAGCCATCGCGGACGGCGCGATCAAAGAATTCTCGTAACTCATGATCACCTAGTTCCGGTAGCTGATGGACTAACAAGAGCGTCTTTGCTGGAATCGGAGGTGGGGTTACAACACCGCTCATATAATCCTGCACGGGGATGTGACAAGCAGACATGGCCGAACACTTGAGTGCAGGTATTGAACAGCTGTAACAGAGAGGTAATAACTAGAGAACACTGAAGGAACTGGCTCTCGAAGGGGGTGAAGGCAATCTACTCGATTTACACACCGCCTCCTCTCGCCCTTGGAAGCCCCATATCTCGTAGACTTACCAGACATCTTTATCTACCACCAAGTACATATATAGGATTCTACGCTATAGCTGCTAACGGAAGTGATCTATAATTGCCCATCTAAGCATTCCTCCGAGTTCCTAGGCCGGGCAGCTTGCGGGATAAGTACAATTATACTATTAGAATCTTACGTGTAGATACTGCAGACAATTGTCATTTGTTCGAATCGATGTATTGTACATAGACATAGCAATAACAGACTTTTCACCACAAACAGTTTGACAAATTCCTGGCAGGTGGAATTCAAAAAGCAACCAAACACCTAATCCCAATGCAAAGCAGGGCAAAATATAATACATAAAGGGTGGAGAGACAGAGACGCTGTACAAGACACACAAAACAGACAGCACATCACGATATCAATCCTTCTTCTCAACAGTCTCATTCTTAGCCCCCTCACCCTTCCCATCCTTCTCACCCCAAGTCCAAACATCCCAAATATGCTCCTGAATCAGATCCCAATATCCCTTCCCCTCACTAAGCGCCTTTTGCTCCTCTCTCAACCTCCTCTCCTTCCACCCCTCAGACTCCCCACCCATCCAAACCCGCTTCATAAGTCCCTCCTCCTGCGCCTGTCTCGCCTTCAATTTCTCAATCTCCTCCATCAACCCAGAATCCGGCTCCCTGCGATTCTGATCCGAAAGTGACAAAATCCGCGCCTTCAACTGCTCATGCTCAGCCTGGCGGAGGCGCGCGTCACGCGCAGCCCGAAGTCGTTCTTGGACCTCCTGCGCGCGCTCGCTTGGTAGAGCAGAGAATGTCCCCTGCATGCGTGAGATGCGCGCGTCAATGCGCTCAACTATGCTGCGTCCTGTGCGCTCGTGCACGATGTGGTTTGCGGATGCCCCGAAGGAGCATAGTACTAGGACTGTGAGGGGGTCGAGTTTGCGTGGTGGGAGGGCGATTAGGATCGGTGCGCCGATTAGGAATGTGTAGGCGGCATAGTTTTTGAAGCGCTTGTAGTCTGCTTCGCGGATTGCGTTTAGGTCTGTGGGTGAGGGGGTTGCCATGTTGTTTTTTTTGAGGTTGATGATATGGAGGTTGGAGGAAAATTTATGGTTGGCGGGTGGGGCTTGGCGCATGCTTGGCGGCTACCTATCTTTGTATAGTACGTGATGTATTACGCATTATGTGGTGGAATGCACATATATATTGTCTAAATTATGAGGATTCATCTCATAGTGAATATTAGATACAGTACAAAAGCAACGGTCCAGGTTGAGTGTCATATATGATTGGTAGAGTAAACATTACCCTATTAGCGTTCAGGTCGATGTTATACAACGACGGCGTCTTACCAAATCTCACACTATAAACTCTACGTACTTCCCTTTTCACCTCTTCACTTTCCCCCTCTCATCTTTTAGGTCCCCTATCTCATCTACGCACACAATCAAAATGTTTGCCAACGGTCTCTTCTCCTGGTTCTCCAAGGAGCCTACTCCCAACCCTACCTCGGATGCTACTACCAGCATCGAGAATCACCAGCCCATCAGCCCAAAGGCCCTATCCGCTGACAGCATGGTGGTCGAGCAGCCTGTACGTCATACAAGACACAACTCCCCCTAACAAAACGCCCAACTAATGCCCTCCCAGAACTCCCAGGAGAACATGCTGAAGCTGCGTGGCGGCGGCGCCGGTGATATTTGCTGCGGCCTGTAAGTCGAATGTGTTTGAGTCACATACTAGAAAAAACTGACATTCATCTAGTTGTGCCGGCCTTCTCTGCTTCGAGTGCTGTGAGGAGTGCTGCTAGTTATGCGGTAGTTCGAACACGTCGTCGGCTTGGTCCCCTCGGTATCCCCGACTTTCCTCTGCGCTTGATGAGTCTATGCTTTAGTCTCGTCGGGTGATTTGGTTCCTGGAGTTTGGGTTGGAGATATTGAGGGGTGGGGATTAGCCGGGTTCAGTTTTCAGGCTCATTATTTGCTCTACTTCATGCTTCATATCCTCTAGCGATTATGACTCTTCTTGGCTATTTGCCGGAGCTTTTGACATGGAGTCCGGAATCAAGTTTTTACATACCAATTTCCTTTTTCTAGCTCAAAAAGCAAAACCAGTCTCGTTTCTGCATCTTCTTTCGTATTGACATTGTTAATCCTTATGGTTGTGTCTAGAGAGCCTGCTAGTTCTACTCTGGATAATGGGTATTGGTCAAGGTGATTTTTGCTATTGAACTGTGTAAACGTGGACATTTTCTTTTTTTTTCTTCCTTGATATGAATTCACCTCAATCCGTAGAACCGCGGCAGATAATCTTGAAGCTCACCCTTCAAGCTCACCCCGGGTACCATCCTCAAACTTCATTCTCAGAAACACACTCCCTAATCTCAACCACAATCTCATAACTCAAACTTCGCCCTCAAAGCTCTTCTTCATATTCTTCCTCAACCACTTCTTCGTCATGCGTATCGGAAAAGACAAGTCCCTCCAAATCATCCGCCAAGGACTCCACGTGCGAGGAGTAGTCCCCCGGGACAGGAGACGCGACATCTCCGTTGGAAGATACAGCCTCTGCCTTTGAAGAGACTTCATCTTCATGCGAAGAGACTCCCTCTTGGAACAAGTCATCTTCGTATGAAGATACGGCCTCTGGGTTCGAAGAGACGTCGTCTGCGCTCAAAGATGCGACGTCTGCAAGCGAAGGTCCGGGACTATTATGCTCAGGCTGGCTACTCACATCGGAAGCGACCTCCCCCGGCTCCATTTCGTCACCAATCATTGGCGAAATATCGGCGAGGCCACGAGTAACTTCACTGAGTTCCTGTTCGATTTGGCCAGCGGTAACACGGAAAGCACACTTAGAGTATCGAGCCTCCATGTGTGCGACGAGGGCGGCGAAGGTTCTGAATCTTTTGTAGCATCGAGGGCAACTGTAAAAAAAGACTGTTAAAGAGGGTCTCTTTGCAAGATAATGGAACAGAAAAAGGAACAGAAAAAAATAAGTACTCGTTGATGTCGTCATCTTTCATCGTGAGATGATACTTAAAGGTGGCAAGGAACAAGAAAGATGCACCGCAGTTGCAGTAGTAGCGACCTTTATCGGCATTCCAGAACCTCTCAGGGTCCATGCCTTGAATCTTGTGGTGAGCCGAGGCTCGGCAGGGACGGCCATAGCCAGAGGCACCTGCTTTGCGAATGGTCAGAGCAGATCCAGAGGGTCCTGCCTGGCCCAACTGCTCAGTGGCTCCGTGACGCATTGAGGCGCTGAATACATCGTCGATGACGATACCACCGGTGGACTCAGTGGTGATACTTTCTGCTTGTCCTTGAACTGAGGTCATTGGAACACCTAGCTCGGGCCAGTCGTCACGAGAGGTAGTTGCATCATTGCTATCGCGAACAGGGCGCTTCCCTTCCATACGGGGTGTAGAGACATCCAGCAGAACGCCCCCATCTGAATCCTGGTCTTCGCTGGAGTCATCAGAGGGTGGTCCAGGAGAATCTCTGCCCATGGACAGAACGCTGGCTGTTCCACGGTCATAGTTGGGGCCCTTGCGGGTTTTGTCTGGTAGGGAAAGGATGGGGCATTCCTTGTCTTCGATATGTTTGATAACTGCAGAGGCGGACTTGTACTGGGAACCACATCCCATGCAAGCGACTTGGCGACCTTCGTGATGATTCTAAAAAGTGCATAGACTGTCATTTCTGTTCTTGTCTCTATGGATATTACCGTGAATAACGATGAAGACTCACGTTTCTCATATGAACTTCCAGACCAGGCTCACTGCGGAGCTCTAGGCAACATTCAGGACAAGCGAAGTGACGATCGCTCATAATCTTGTGCAGATGGAGGGTCTGCTGAGACGGGAAGTCGAGGTCGCATTTCATGCAGTAAGAATGTCTGTCTGCATTGGATTTGTGGTGCTGCATCTCACTGACAGACTTGAAACTAAGTCTGCAGCCCTGAAAGGTACAGCGTACCCACTCTATTTCTTCCATAGCGAAGAACCTTGATGAGCTGTCAGGGTGAAGAAGTGACCCGTATCAAGGTAGATAAGGAGATTAAGAAGTTGGAGAAGGAAACGACAGTGAGCGGAACAAGAATACCAGAAAGGAGATGGTAGGGGGAAAACAAGAGAGTGGAGGCAAACAAAATGATTACTTTGTCCTCTTTAGCAAACTGGGGAAGGTAAAGAGGAAAGTGATTATGATGTCTTGATATTGGATAATATGGAGAAAGCAATAGAATGAAAAAAAGAGAATTTGACGAGGCCGGGATTCGATCTCCTGACTTTGAGATTACCGCCAGTTCTCACCGTCGACGTTCCTTCCCAAATGGGTGCCTGAATAGCTTCATTTTTTGACTTCATGTGGATGTACTCGAGGTGAAAGTGGCTGCAACCCACCACTTTTACTGGCTTAGATTCTCTTCAAAATTACAATACGACAAGCTGGATATATCTTGATACTACAGTTCAAATTTGAAGCTTGTACAATAGTAGGAAGGCAGTCCAATCGAAGATCTAAAATCCCAGGCGACTTCACCGTTAAGTTTTCCTCCTATTTGACGAGGTTAAGGACTGACATTATAACCAGACCCCCCCCAGTGGCCCAGCGGTATTGCGGCCGGGGCATCCCACACCAGGATGTCGCAACGGGTTTTACTCGCTCCCCACTGTCGGTCGGACTCTTATATGCTGAAGCTCTTCCGAAGCACTACGCTAGGCAAGCCCCCCGCGGATGACCACACGCGGCGATCCCGTTAGTTAAGGGGGGAGGCTGTAGTTAGTACGTCGGGTGGAGGTGTATAAGGGAAAGGTCGGAGGAGGGGACCATGAACATAGAGTGACCAGACTCTGTTCATACCCTCTTGAGGTCCAGGAAAGGTCTGGATTTATGGGGATTTTTTTACTTCTCTTGATTTTTGATGCTTCCCTCTCTTTCCTTCCCTTCTTTCTTTTCCATTCTTCCTCTTTCTCTCTCTTACTTTCTCTTTCCCTTCTTTCCTTCCCATTCTTTTTCCTACCTCAATACTCTTCACCCTGTTGCCATGATGCTCAAACAATAATGTAACTGTCAAACCGAAATTTAGGTACCATGTAACTCTGCAAACAAAATTATTATGCATTTTTTAATGCTGCCATCCTAGTTGGATCATCCACCCGGGAATACACTCTAGAATTAGTCGGATGCGAACAATTACCTTCTTTCTACCATCCTGCATGCTATCACTGATATTTGAATTCATGGACTCTTGAAGAGACTTGATTCGCTGATGAAATGCGAATGATAGAAACATAATCCATGTCAACACGAGATCTCTTCTAGTAATATTCCTAGGCCTAGAATCGAGAGAAGGGCAACCTATTCATTTGTTAGAGGGTTGTTTAGCAAGCATAGAGAAGACAGCTCTTACCATTTACCACGCAAAGTGATAACCGCCCAGTTATTCCCATCCTCATCAGTCTCCTTCTCAACCTTTGTCGAAAATGAGATAGCACTCATAATCCCATCTCCAAATTTCTCATTGAGAACCGCCTTGTACGCATAGCCATAGTTCTGCACGATCTCATACAGTCGGTAAATGAGTGGCTCCTTGGGCGGCATTTCGACGGAGCGACCGCGATCGGGGAATCCGCTGAGTTGTTCCGACAAAGGCTGCTCAGGGATGAAAAGCAGATCTGCCAGCTTTTTGATGTCTTCGGGGGACGCCTTGGCCTGGCCGTAGAATATGGCAGCTGCGGCTACTTCATTGCGACCGATAGCCTCGCCAATTTCCTGAAAGGTCACGTTGCGAGCAGCCTTGGCTTTGAAGAGTGTCGTGGATGCAGCGGGGAGATTAGGGTGCTCTATGGTCTGGAGTGAGGTTAGCGGGGTTGCGGGTTGGTCAGGGGCACTTCTCACGTCTAGGGTTGCGAGAGACATGATGGATGAGTTTAGGGAATATGATGTTCAATTGAAGGATGGAAGGTTTGCTGCAAGTTGTTGGCTGTTTGCTGTGGAAGATGGATGTCAGGTACTTTGGACAGATGTACTGCGGGGAAACCGGAGTTGATGTAAAGTGTATGATTCATTGATCTATGGATGGATGTATTTCCCGATGTAATTCCATTCATTTTGTGTGAGTATACACACTTCCCAACTATATTTCCACTCATAGATTTAAAAGAATTGGAGCTAAATATAAGCATAAATTGGCATGCAAATCATATGGCATGCTTTGGGCTATGACGGATGAAAGGGTTGTATATGTTGTACACAGTATTAGGCTTAACACCAACCCAGAAGAAATAGTCCTTGGATGTCTAAATGTTTAGACAACCTGAAGTTCACATATAATCCGACCCTGGAGGCCCATGCACTGAATAATTTGGACCGCATCGGGTCGTCGCAGATCATACAGATCGACAACTGACATTAGAGTCATCCATTAAGTTCACACCATGTGTTACATTGCTTTATATCAATATCTGAGTATCGATTTCCTACCTAGGTAGATGTATACATGGTAAATGCTTAAAACCTCGGGATCACAGTGTTCAGAGTACATAGAAATATGCTAAACCATTTTAGGACACCATTGCGACCAACCAATAGGCGCTTTACCCTTGCCCCACTTACTTTTAAGGTTCCCGAGGTCGATACCATACACGAAGTAAGCAGCGCAAAATAGGTAGACATGGTAAATATTTTGACTTGTTCTTGACCACGTGTACATTTAGGCAGCCTCGGTCTTGTCTTGTCCAAATGTTATAAAGAACAGCAAAATGTCAAGGGTGGATTATATCCTCCGAGTCGGTTGAGCCACATGACTTGGCACAATTCACAATGGCCAACTTCAAAAATCCAATGGATAATATGAAATCCACATGGCGGACATGGGATCGAGACCAGTGGAAGTTGCCACACAAAATCCTTGAACACGTCAACGTATACCACATCGAGCTCAACAGGGATGTCCCAATCCATTCCAAGGAAGATAAAATCCCATATGTATCCGACTGGTCCCTGAACCGCTGGGTCCTTTTCAATGCAGGAGTTCCACTTCTAGCCCACCAGCTTTTCACCTACATCACTGGATACAACTTCCACCCGATCATCGCCTTCTTCTACTACTACTATGCTACGAGAATGTTCACAACACGCGAGCTGCGGAGTCTCCGAGAGCTCGGCCATATCCATGGATTCCTAGATGGCGATAAACACGAGCGAGATGGGGTTCCGGATGTGGGCGTTTCAAAAGCTCTGATCTCGGTTCTACTGGCTGGGCTAATACGTCCACTGATGACAGTGTGTCTCACCTACAATGCAAATAAAGCACCCGCCTCACTCAACTGGAAATGGTTGTTCATTGAGGTCAGTCTTTATGGAATCATTCTTGATTTTTGGTTCTATTGGTACCACCGTGCTATGCATGATGTGAACGGTCTCTGGAAATTCCACCGCACCCACCACCTGACGAAACACCCAAACCCGCTGCTCACGATCTACGCGGATGCGGGGCAAGAATTCTTTGACATCGCCGGTATTCCGTTGATGACATGGTTCACGATGAGGCTTATGGGAATGCCGATGGGATTTTATGAATTGCACATGTGTCAGCTGTACGTTATATTTTCAGAGCTGGCTGGGCATAGTGGTCTCCGTCTTCATGCATCGCCACCTAACCTTCTAACATGGCTGATGCGGATGTTTGATGCTGAGTTGGTGATTGAAGACCATGATTTGCATCATCGCCGGGGATGGAAGAAGAGCCATAACTATGGTAAGCAAACGCGAGTATGGGATCGGATCTTTGGAACATGCAGTCCTCGCATCGAGAGTGTGGAGGCGAATATTGATTACGAAAATCCTATTTCTATGCCAATGTTGTGATATATTATTGCAGATGAACATAGAATAATAGAATGAGAATAGAGCCACGGGGCTCTTGTGTAGACGTCTATTGCGCTTAAGATCGTAATAAGGCAGCAGGCTACGTCATATAACCGTCAAGTGGTCATGATAATTCTTAATACCTACAGTCAATATGGGAATGTTTCTTTTTCCACACTAGCACGGGACGGTATAATTTCGGCCACTATTTCATCCAACATCAAGTCTGAGCTAGACATCGAGGTCTCTAGCAGAAGCTTTCTCGGCGATCTGGGACCCCCGATCAGAAGGTATCCGTACAATGAAACTAAGCAATTTTTAGAAACTGTAAAAATGGAACTAGATTGCCAGGAAGAAAAATTTGGGGCCAGTGAATGGGTAAGCAGTGGTATAGACGCCAGGGCTCAAACCCCATTTCTGTAATATATATGCCTTGATACCTCATTTTCCGAAATAAGGCCAGCAGGATAATTAAGATACTTGAATTACTATTACAAGAATAGTCGGCCGTATAAGCAGCCTTGTGATGTCTTTTCGGTGGTCTTTCCGGTGGTCTTTTCAATAGTCTCTTTAGTGGACTCCTCAGATATCCAGTTTTATACGTTGACAGGAAAAGAAAAAGCGGAAAAGAGCTCAATTTGTGCAAATGACCTTTCAACTTTTGATAAAGCGGTGCAAGGAGCGATTAAGTACCAGACCCCTGGCTTCTATACCACTGCGTAGAGGCCAGTGAATTGGTGCTCTTCACCAAGGCTAATGAGCACGTATTCGGTCGTGACTTCCTAAACGCGGACGATAATATCCTTCAGCGTTGCTGGAATTCTTACGACTCTTCCCAACACCTTCTTCTTATCAAATTGACAGTCTCACGCGCTCATGAAATTGCGGCACGCGTATTCGAAGGGCTCTTCTTTGATTATATTACGCCAATGGGCCTCGATGACCATCTTCAAACCTTTGGATCCGCCACTGGCAAAGCAGAAAATGGCTCCGCTAAACAAACAACCCGACTACCAGTTTCTACCAAGGAGACTTCCTCGAGCTTGAATGAAGAAATGGCCCTCGATTGTCGTAGAAACGGGCTTTTCAGAGTCCTTTTTTAATTTGGCATCCGATGCTCTGTTCTGGCTTTTTGAATCCAACAGTGACATTTAAATGGTCATCATAATTATGATCGGTCGGAGCTCGCCTAGCATCGTGCTGGAGTCATGGGAACTTGTGGACGATAGGGTCAAATGTCAGCATGTCGTTACGATAAGCAAAGGAGAGAGTAATCATGTCTACCTCTGGGGCCAGCCGCTTATTATTAGCTTCCACAAGCTCTTTCTTCGCCCACCGAGCATCCCGAAAGAAGAAAACATCACCCTTGACAACGCTATTTTGAAAAAAAAATGTTGCTAGGAACGTCTGGGTGGAGTAATGTTTTTGACAATGGCTCAATCAAAGTCGGTCATGGTATATCTCCTTCAGAGGATGGGACTAGGTTACTACTATAGCAATATGAGAAATCGTCATATCCTGGCCTTCGAACGCAGTAACGCCGGAAGTAGCAGCATGCTGCATCTATTTTAATTAACATAAAAAGTGAAAATAGATTCGAAAACATGAAAGTACTTGTCTGGGATGTTGGATATGTGATTGAGAGACAAATAAAATTCAGAAGAATATCTCAAGGGCTACCAAATAGTCCTACACCAAAAAGATATTCAAAATCAATAGAAACACAACCAGCGATGATATCCTCCTTATAATGTTCTGCGTATTTGATGGCAAGGGCAGCCCAATAGTTCATGGGAAGGCTTAGATCCACCGGAAACGACACATAAAACTTCTGTTGATAGTGCATGGCAAGACCATGGGTTATTTTGAACGATCTGTCTTGAAGACGCTGAATCACGGTGTTTATCAAGTCTACATCGGAGAACTCAATCTCGTGGTCTAGAAATTTCACCGACACCCACCATGCCTGTCCAGTTGGGGAGATATGATCCTCAAAGATAGGTAGGCCACCTTGAACGAATATTGTACGGGTAGAAGACATAGCTTGGTAGTAAGCATGTATCAAGTTCTTTGGGCTTTCTAAGTAGAGGAAATACTATCATGGGTTATTACAACTCTTTTATGGATTAGATATATTCCTTTATATGTAGGGATACAAACAATGATGCAATGAAGTGAACCTGCTCCATGAGATCTTTCATTCTTCACACTGGTTTCACTATTTTCAAGATACCACTGGTATTTAACACTGTGTGTTGGCTTTCTGTCTCAAAGCATCTGGATAAATGTGATCCATTGGATTGATCTTACTTACACAAAGCCCTTCTACCAGCTGGCATGGAATAAAGAGCTCATCGGAGAGGAAATCTGAATGTCAATCACTCCTTATCACATGCATATAAAGACCCAGATCTCATTATAGAATTAATCAACTTAATCAACCACTATCAGGTCCATCAACTGTTCTCACCATGGAAACAAAATCAACCACCGATGTTTTCATGAGTATCCCACCTGAAGACGCGCCAGAGATTGGACGCGGTAGGAAAACCAATGTATTCCGCAGCTATCCCCTCCCACCCACCGTTCGCCGCATCTGGCTCTACACCATCGCTCCACTACAAGCTGTTGAGTATGTGGTGTGTATATCACACGATGAGGCTGAATCTAACACAGGCAACACCAAATACACCTACAAGACTCGCCAGGTATGGATGTTAAGACATCCTATTTACCTGCATCAGGCTATATCGCGCGGTATATTCAAAGCTCCCCCGCGAAAGTACTGCTGGGCGACTGAAAGCTTCTTGGATAGCTGTCGTTTCTATCGACAGTATCCGATAAGGGGTCCGAAACAAATTATCTGGTAAAGAGGATGTGGCAATTTCTTTCCCTGATCCAGATAGCGAACAATGAATTGGCTTTCATTTTCCAAGTAAAACGACTTTCTTCAGGCCCCTAGTAATGAGTTTCTATGCTTTAATGCGGCTCGGATGTGGGCGCCCGGGATAGTTACCCCATTAAGTCAAACTAGTACTATTTGGTAATAGTGTCAGGGTTCATTTACACCAATTGCTTGGCATTTGAAGACTTTGGCCGGAGTGCATACGGCATTAATGAGTACAACCTGTCATACTGTGTTCAATATGCAATACAAATGCAAAACTTGTTCAAAGAGTATCTAGATAAGTTGGAAATATGTCTGAGTTCTTTTAGCTGCCTAAGACACCAACAGATGTGACATTCAGAGTCTACGATGAACTCTATATATGCTCAAGCAAGGTAAAAGGAGACACTCTCATTTAGCACGTTAATAGTCCAATAAAATATAAGGAATTGTTTTCTCTATAGAAATATATAGATCAAAGTTATCCAAAGATAATTCATGTAGTGGATCTACTGAGATGCCGAATTACCTCCGACGATCTCCCATTGGTCTGATTATTGATCATTCAAAAGAATTCATCCGGTTCATGGTGAAACGCATTTTTTGATCAGCAATCAACGGTGGGTTTTCACTCTGTTCAGCAGTTTGACAGCCTCGGCTCTTGTGGGCCTAGAAGATTTCAGGGGTCCAATTCTCATGTATAAATAATTTAATGCATCTCGAGTTTTTCAATTTCTTCAGTTAATACATATTTACGGACTACATCATGGACAAAAAACCATTCAAAGTCATCATTGTGGGTGGCAGTATTGCAGGGCTTTCCCTAGCCTTGATGCTAGAGAGGAACGGCATTGATTTTGTCATCCTTGAAGCATACGGCAGCATTGCACCTCAGGTCGGGGCTAGTTTTGGCGTTTTGCCAAACGGCTTTCGCATTCTAGATCAACTGGGTTGTTACGAGTCAGTTCTGGAGAAGGCAGAATACCCTGTTGACACATTCTGCTTCCGTGATTCGCAAGGGAAAGCATTCTGGACATTTGATAACTTTAACGAGACCTCCATCGGAAGGTTTGTTGGCTCTTATATGCCGAGGTTGAAACATCACCGCTGACAATATCTCTAGGCACGGCTATCCTGTCGTCTTCCTCGATCGACGAATGTTGATAGAAGTCCTCTATGAAAAGATCCAGGATAAGTCCAAAGTGCTCACCTCTCAGCGGGTCCAGAGTATTGAAAATGGTACTTCGGGTGCCACAGTTACCACAACGACTGGTCAAACCTACACTGGAGATATCGTGATCGGAGCAGACGGGATCCATTCCAAAGTCCGTCAAGAGATGTGGAAAGCGGCCGAAAAGGTTGATCCCACATGGATCGATCCTACAGAGGAGTCTGGTATGAAAAATAAAACCAAAGCATTTGAGAAGCATTAGCTAACTATTGTAAAAGCATTGCCCGCAACTTACGCATGCATCTTCGGCATTTCCAAGGGCGTGGAGGGAGTCGAGAAAGGTATGCTGAGCTCGGTGTTTAATGAGCATTTCTCGTATCTTATTCCCAGCGGACCCGGGGACCTCACCTACTGGTTTCTCGTGCGGAATATGGGAAAGACGTACTATGGTGCCGATATCCCTCGGTTCACCAAGGAGGAGGAAGAGGCATTTGCAACGGAACATCTCGATGACCAGATCACTCCTACGCTGAAATTCTCCGCTCTGTACAAGAGCAAAATTGCCTCGGCATACACCAGTCTGCCAGAGTACGTCTATAAAAGATGGCATTTCCAGAGAACTATGACTATTGGTGATGCTAGCCACAAGGTAAGACTAGCTACCATCCCGAGACCAGGATCATGGGAAGACTGACCAATAATCCGTCTAATAGTTTGAGCCCTTGACAGGCCAAGGTGGCAATAATGCAATGGAAACCGCCGCATCCCTCACGAATCATCTCGTTGCGGCCCTCAAAAACAGCCAGTCGGGCACGCTATTGTCGACAGAGATTTCCAAAATCTTTGAGAGTGTCCAGCAGCAACGAGAAAATCGTGCGTGGGGGTTGGTCAAAGCATCCCATATCCGCCAGCGTCTGGAGTGCATGGAAACGCCCTTGTTGAAGTTCATGGCAAGATATGTGGTGCCACGTTTCTCCAGATACCTTATCTTCGGCAAATGGATCGACACGTATTGTCCTGCAGTGTCCTTGGACATGCTTCCACTGCCGCATAGGCCTCGAGAAATCCCATATTTCGACGAGCGCTTCAGAACGCCGTCGTCTCGGGGTGTCGTCAGCATTGTGTTGTACGCTCTGTACTTCCTCTTGGCCTGGTTAGGCCATCGTCAATTGTCGACAGCAATCAGGGAGAATGGAACAATTGGATTTGTCCGCCAGGCCGTCAAGAGCCAGTCCATCCTACTCCCAGGAGGACTGGAAGCTCCCCTTCGCCAGGTGTACACAGGGATTGGACCTGTTGACCTCTTTTTGAAAGTCATTGTAACAATATTCATGCCAGCGATCACCAATTTCTCAACCCCGGAGCAGCCATTTCAAGTTCTCTACTTCCTGGCTTCTATGATGCCGATTATCGCTATCTGGACGGTTGAAGGGTTCCGACCAAGGAACCAATGGACCCTTCTTGCCATACCGAGTATATGGGCAGTTCTGTATCAGATGCGAGGAATTGGGCTGATTGCACCGCTCTATTTCGCCTCAAGCACCTTTGTCTCCTCTCGGATATCATACTTCTCCCCAAGTAGCCGCACTCTTTCTGAATCCACTGCTCGAGCGATACTACCTGCACTAGTACTGGGATTCATCGTGCCCACGATCATGCTGTTCTTCCCATTGGCCAATGCCTTGAGCACGCGACAGATTTTCATCGCACTGTGGCAGCCCGCTCCGATATATGTGGTTATCTTGACTCAGATATTCTCCTGCGTCATCAAATCGATCAGTTCCAGCACACCGACCAAAACCGGTAGCGCTGCATCGGAGAGCAAATCCAATCGGGACATCCCACACTTGAAAACTCTCTATGCTGTGGCTGGTGGTGTAGCTGCTTGTTTCCACGTGGCATTGCTGCTGACCTGGGCCGCTTCGGGGACAAACTTTATCACCAAGGCGTTCATTCCATCCGATGCCTTCGCACAGGTGGAGACACTTGCAGACGGTGTCTTCGTGTTTTTCCAGAACGACTTCCTGCTTGTTGCAGCGGCAACTCTTCTGTGGTGTCTAGCTAGCGTATGGGATCTATACCGCCTTGGGGTTTCTAATGTCTCCTGGCAGGTGGCAATGGCTGGTTTGATTCTGGGTTCTCTGGCAATTGGACCGGGTGCGACGGCGGCGGCTGTGTGGTATTGGCGGGAGGAGGTAATGAGTCGGACATCTTTCCTCCGACATGGCCCCGTCGCTAGCTCAAACAAGAGTATTTGATTGTGGAAGTTTGGTGTTGAATGGCCATATGGCCGACATAATGAGGTCAAAGAAAGCTTCCAAGACTTGGGCGAAACAAGGGGGGTGGATAGTGATCAAAGAGGTTGTGTCTGATTCATCGGGTTATTGCGCGCGTAGGTAAAGAAAATAGGTTGTTGTAATGTTCCGCGGGTTGAAAGATATGAATGCATACAAGGCTATATTATAGAGAGCTAGTAACTCAAACTAAGATCCACCTCACATTGTGAGATACTACCCTCTCGACATCAGACCGGCGGAAGCCAGCCACACAGCCCAGAGCAGACGGAAGCTGGCTCAGTCCTGGCTAGATTAGCTCTCATCATTATAGTGACACCGAGAATAGTAGCAAATAATAGGGTAAGCGTACTATTGACCAGTTTATACTCGTCGATGACCATCATCATACCGCCGGGCATTACGCCTTGGGGGATCTCCAAGTTCGAAGGCCCAGCGCCCGGGCTAGATGGATAAGATATCGCAAGGGTGGACGAAGAAAACTCGCCTACACGAATGCCTTGGTTGAACAGGTATCTCTCAACGTCATGCACATCGAACCAGTCTTCATCAGCAAAGACATTAGACACGCCGTTTGTTGTTCGAAAGAGGGCGAAGTTATCTGAAAAAGTGTCACTGGAGGGTGGTAAAAAGTGTGTGCCTGCGCCACCGACACTGATATATGGGAATCGAGCATCGACGATGGGATTGCATGGTTCCATGTTGACGACGCGTCCAAAATAATCTCGGACCTCTGCTCGTGGCATTCTTTGCAGAAGTAGTCCAAACTCCCACATATCTTCATCTTTATATGAGGGATTCGATAGAAACCGATGACCACTTTCAGCGCAAGCGCGAAAAAGCCGTTGGGTGAAGGGTGTAGTTGCATATTGGATGGTGTGAGTTTCAGCAATAAACGGCGTCAGGGGAATGGGAAACAATTCATTCGATTGATTATCCAGACTCTTGGTATTATTCGATGGAATTATGCCACCAGATGAGCCCAAAAACAGGTTCCAGAAGTCAGACCCCTCAGTTTGCTCTTTTAATCTGCCAGTTGAGACCTCGGACGCGACCTGCGCGTAGGGTTGCTCATTGACAACTTGGGATGGTTCTGAAGTGTTGTTCACTGGGAACTCTGGATAGTTAATATCAGCCCGCTTCAATTGGGACACTATATCATCACGAAGCAACTGGACTGTCCGGAAAAGTTGGGCCTGAGACCACTGCGACCCACCCCGGATCACTTTGTTATCGAATTCTTGCACTGTCTGGCTCAGTTGACTAAGTACATCCTCCAGCTGCTCTACGCGAGCTTGTGATGAAGAGAGCTGGGATTGTTGGCGAGATCTGTACGCCTGTTGTGCTTCGCGGACCTGGGCGCGTCGTATCTGTGCCAGGGGTGAGACCGTGTTGTTACTTTATTGTAGGAAGGAGCCTCACAGATTTCGCATCTTCAGCCGATTTTCGGGGTCTCCCAAGGGAGCTTCGTTTTACTTGGGCTGTGGGCATCGTAGTACAATTTGAGGGTATGAAGATTCATTGGTTGGGCTCAATAAGATTCATGACTCTTATATCGGAACGCCAAGCCCGCCGCAGTTTGACAGAAGTACTTGCAAGACCCATGTTTCAACTTCACCTCATTATTATTTTTAATTATTCATTATATGGAAACTATCGTTAGTTTCATGAATATCTAACATCGTCTATATCTTTGTCACTATGGAGAAGGTAGAGATGTGCCAATATATATATCCTTGGTTCTAGTTAGGCTAGTACCATGTATAGAGTAGTAAAGTACACAGTTACATTATCTCTCCTGTCTCACCTATTCTATTGCCTAAATTCAGTAATATCCCAACTTGGGAAGATAATCATGTCAGCTTACGGAGTATAGTACACCGCCACATTCACCACGTTCCCATCGTGGCTGGGGTGCGGGGCGTTCATCTGATTTAAAACAGTCGCACCCCGCTCAGCAGGCACCCTTATTTCTTGTCTTTTTCTTTTTTCTTGTTCAAAGCTTTTCTCATTATTCGTCTACAAATTTGACAGAATGTCCAAACAGGATGATCTGGCCTATGGTGGTTACTACGATGGTGCGGAACGTGGGTCCGGAGAAGGATCCCGCGGTCTAGGCGATACCTTCAAGAAGCTCCGCGATACGTACAAGAGCCACGGGTCTTCACATGGCCAGGCTAACCAGACATACAACCCAAGTGGTTATCAAGGCGTATGCTTCACTTTTCGTTCAACCTGCGCAAACACTAACCGGTTCTCTACAGCAGAGTTACCCAACCCAGACCGAACCACAATACGGATATGATCAGAGCCAAAATACAAGTGGACAGCACCAAAATCCTGACTATTATGGAAAACCTCCGAAGGAAGACAAACTGGCTGGTTTCTTGGGGAAACTTCAAGGTACTGTGACCGAGCTTGGTTCCGAATTCGCCCAAAAGATCGGTACCACTATCGACCCACAGGCATATGCCGAGTATGGTCCCAGCAAACCCAACGCAGAGCATCGATTTGGTAGCTTCGCCCCTCCCCGAGAACATAATGATGTCAAGTGGCATGTGGATGGATGTAGCTATTTCTGGGCTGTGTCACGAGCTCTCGAAAATGCCCGAGAGTCGATTTGGATCCTGGACTGTGAGTTTCAACTTCCCCGGATTTTCATTGGATGTGGCTAACTTGATGTAGGGTGGTTATCTCCCGAACTTTATTTGAGACGGCCGCCGGCCAAGAATGAACAGTACCGATTGGATCGCATGCTGCAAGCTGCAGCCCAGCGGGGCGTGCGTGTCAATATCATTGTTTATAAGGAGGTTACGCAGGCACTAACTCGTATGTCTATGGTCCTTGAACATTGAAAAGAACCCAACTAACAATCTATACAGTGTCTTCTTCTCACACAAAACATGCCTTAGAAAATTTGCACCCCAATATCGCTGTCTTCCGTCACCCTGACCATCTGCCTGACCGCCAAGGGCTGGCAGCTTCCATTGCGTCGTCTTTCCAGAATATGACACTCGACTCAGCAAGTTTGGGTAAGATGTCGAAGGATACACTGATGGGACTGTACGGAATGAACGATGATGTCATTCTGTATTGGGCTCATCACGAGAAGCTTTGCGTGATCGATGGTCGGACTGCATTCATGGGTGGTTTGGACATGTGCTTCGGCCGCTGGGACACAAATCAACATGAGCTCTCGGACCTACGTCCCTCCGATGTCAACCAAACCGTCTTCCCTGGCCAGGACTACAACAATTCTCGCGTCCTTGATTTCCAAGATGTGGTTCACTGGGAGAATAACCAGCTGGACAGAAAGACCATGTCTCGGATGGGATGGTCTGATATATCCGTGAGCCTGCACGGTGCAGCCGTAGAAGATTTGCGGCGTCACTTTGTTGAACGGTGGAACTTCATCTACGATTTGAAATACAAGGTTCGTAGCGATTCTAGGTACGCTAGATTGGCACTCCATGGAAGGCCCGCTTCGTTCACTGGCCAACAGCAGGCTGGTTCTCCACAGCCCAACTTGTACCCCTCGGGACAGTCAAGCCCACAGGGACAGACATCTGCGCCATCCTGGCAGCAGAAGCCTAGTGGAGCCACATCTCCTGCATTCCCACCGCCACCAGGTCAGACGTCGAATTCGTACCAAGCGTCCCAGTCCCAGCCTCAGCATCAGCAATCTGCCGGGGCATATCAGCCCTACAACAGTGCTAGCACTTCAAATTATCAGCCACCACCGGCTCAGAGTTCTTCAAACCAACACCAGTATCAACCCGAAAATGCTCCAACCTATCCCCCGCCGCCAGGCCAAAGCCCTCTAGGCCATCAGCCTCAATCTGCCCAGTCTCCGAGTCACAATGCAAGCCAGTATAGCTACACTGGGAGCTCATTCCCTCCTCCTCCACCTGGACCTCCACCAGCGCAGTCCAATACCAACACCTCGCATCAGGCTTATCAGCAGGAGCAGAAGCCCTATTTCCCACCCCCACCAGGCCAGGAAGCATCTCACTCTAACACCCGTGGAATTGATGATTACCAATATGAAGGCGACCGCGAACGTGGTTCTTTGAACCCCCGTCGCTTCCGAGAGGACCTGACCCAATATGGCAGCGCCCTTCGTGGTCAGCTCGCCGGAACAATTCACCAATACCAGGATCGGCTAACCACATATGGCCGACCTTCCTCCTCGCAAGGCCGAGGGAACATGTCATGCCAGATTGTGCGCAGCTGCGCGAAATGGAGCAACGGCAGCCCACTTGAGCATTCAATTGCCGACGCATATTGCGCCATCATCCGAAACAGTGAGCACTTCGTCTACATCGAAAACCAGTTCTTTATCACTGCGACCGGTGATGCGCAGCGTCCAGTGAAAAATCAGATTGGTGCCGCAATTGTGGAGAGAATTCTACGTGCTGCCCGCGCCGGTCAGAAATATAAGATCGTGGTGGTCATCCCCTCTGTTCCTTGCTTTGCAGGTGATTTGCGAGATGATGAGACTCTCGGAACGCGCGCGATCATGGAGTTCCAGTACAACTCTATCAACCGCGGAGGCCACAGTATCATGGAGCTGATTGCCAAAGAAGGATTTAACCCTATGGAGTATATCCGTTTCTACAACCTTCGCAATTATGATCGGATTAACAACGGTAGTATGATGGCTGCAGCTGAACAGCAGAGTGGTGTCAACTACGAAGATGCCCGCAGACAGTACGATGTGAACACTGCAGGCCCTGGTGGATATGCTCCAAGCACTACCCGTACTGCTTTTGATACTTCCGCACCGTTCCAGAAGTACCAGCAGGCCGCACACCAGGTGCAGGGCAGTCATGCTTCTTCGAACCGGTGGGATAGTGTGAGCGAGTGTTACATGCTCGGCGGAGAGGATATTCGTAAAGTGCCATGGGATGGCCATCCCGACGCTGAAATTGATGCGTTTGTTAGCGAAGAGCTTTATGTCCACTCAAAGGTTCGTTTCGTGCAAAATTCGATGATGATTCAAAACTCTAACAAAAGCATTAGGTGATGATCGCCGACGATCGTATAGTTATTTGCGGATCTGCAAACCTGAACGACCGTTCTCAATTGGGTGACCATGACTCTGAGATCGCAGTCATCATCGAAGACTTCACGCCCGTGGCATCCACTATGAATGGTAAGCCGTGGACTGCTAGTCGTTTTGCTTCATCTCTTCGTCGCCAGCTGTTCCGGAAGCATCTGGGTCTTTTGCCACCACAGGATTATCAACGACCGGATGCGAACTTCGAGCCCGTGGGGGTTCCCAACCAGTTCGACTTTGACTGCCCTGAGAGCAAGGTCGTCGCTGATCCGCTTTCCGACACTGCCCAGAGTCTTTGGAATTCGCGGGCGCACATGAACACCGAGGTCTTCCGGAAGGTATTCCACGCTGTTCCTGACGACTCAGTCCGCAATTGGGCTGAATACAAAGAGTTCTATGAGTACTATTTCCATAAGACGGAGAAGAGTGCTGGGGGCAAGGAAGTATCTAGTCCGGCGCGATTCCAATGGGGCCACGTTGTGCGTGATGACTTTGCGCCTGGTGCAGAGGGGGCGAAACAGGTCAAAGAACTGCTCAGCCAAGTCAAGGGTACTCTGGTTGAGATGCCTTTGATGTTCTTGATCGAGGAAGACATCGCCAAGGAAGGATTGACCCTGAATGACTTGACCGAGCCACTCTATACCTAAGGAGACTGCATTTGCCAAATTGGGACTATTTGTTACTCTGTACTCGTCTCATTCTTGAATGGAGCATTCCTATTAGCTAAATTGTTTTGCCTGAGCGAAATTTGACTTCTTTAGCGATGCTGTTCGGGATTCTCTCAGGTCCCCGAGTGGAAATGACAGTAACTCAATTCCGTGCAATTCAAGAAATTTATATGCCAAGCCCGAGTTGATATTGTTCTTGAAGAACAATCGTAGGCGGAATGTGATTGTGGCGATTGGTCAACTTAAACTTCCTTTGTTCCTTGACATCTCCATTGGGATAAAATCAACATCCTCCGAAATATTCTTTCACACTTTTAGGACCCGTTCTTAATATTGTTCTTATCTTCATGAAAGACCTATGAATGCACTAACTACACGTGTCTGTGACAGGGGTGCCTTGGCCATCTATGTGACACTCCTTCATCAAAGACGACCCCAGTCAAGCCACAGACGCCTCGGAGGATATCTGATGTGGTCTATATCAACCTCGAAGAGATGTACTAATTCCACATCTTTTAAAACAAAGAGCAAATGTCCGAGGCAACGACGCCTACATTCATGGACACGAGAACAATATCAAAACTGCTCCGCAATGGCCCCAACCTCATGCATTCTGGATTGGTTCTTCGTCAATGTCCAATGGACTTCCGCATTCACTTCCATTCCCAGGTAGCATCTCTATCATATTGATAGTCCGAAGAATAGTCCCTCGTCGGATATAAATATCAGCTTGTACACCCAGTCTCAATTCTTTCTCCATCATCCGATCACATTCCGATCATTCTAAACAATAATCCAATCTTTCCAAGCTTCCGCTTTTTAAGCTCTTCTCAATCTTCGAAATGTCTCGCGCTCAGGTCCAGAAGCGATGTGAGTAACTTGCCTTCAAAGCATACACTGCTTTCTCTGTTCTATACATTGATATACTAACATGCCATTGATAGCCCCCGGAGGTGGCTGCGTCGTCATGAAGTCCCCAGGTGGTGGTTGTGTCGTTATGCGATCTCCCATTCCCAACGGCTGTGTGGTCACCAGAACCCCCGGTGCCGGTTGCGACATCATGAAGCGGTCTCCCGGTGGTGGCTGCGTCGTCATGAACCGTGAGTCCCATTTATACTCTAGATAAAAACTGATATACTAACATGATATAGCCGCTGACTTCTAAATGCCCTCCATGAGCGCCCCCAATTCCAACATTCTATCAGCCACCATGGCTTGACCTGGGTCATTGGTCGCCATGGTCGACATGAAACGCATTAATTTCTTGACAACCTTCGCCGCGGATTCTTGAGAACACTTTCAACTTATCAACCAAAAATATCAACCCCTCGAAACATGACCTTTCAGCTTTACTTTTGCTTTTGTGAAGGCTCCTTGAGAGTCTGTCGGTCCAATTCATTCCTTCTTCGACGATAACGGTTCATTTCTCTCGACGGTCGTGCATGATCCCTAACAACGGCCAAAGAACAATATCCAACCGCTGTCGACTCTGATTTGTTCTGCTTTTTCGAAACCTTCGTGGACGATTCGGGTGACAATGGTTTCTTAGAAAGGGATTTGTTCCTCGCTCCTTCAGCTACATTCGGGGGATCTCCATTACATACTTCAAAATCGGTTGATTGTGTTTCTCATTTTCTGTGGTACGGGTTCCTCTGGTTTCTTGTTTGGTGGGTGGTTTGGGTGGATAGGGATTTATTTCTTAGTTAGAATCGGTCATGGTAGTTGATAGGAATGGAGCATTGCCTCGAAGAATATCTTCTTGATTATTTCCTATTCTAGTTGAATTGTAGTTAGAGAAAAGGGTTTGTGGTGATTACCTTCCTCTTTTTGGAAGGGCTCCTGAAGGTGAATCCAAATCTTTACATATATGGTTACACATGCCTATCTATGTACACTAAGTTAGACATTTTCGGTGCAGATATATACACAAGTTGATGAAAACGTTCATTCATAGAAATACTATGTTCAAATTCTATACAAGTATCTATACTTATTGCCAGATGTCAACCTTATTCCGAATCTCAGACACCTTGGCCTCTTCGGTCTGAGAATATTCACCCAGATCCCCTTCGTCGGAACCAAATGCATCGCTGGCTGTCTCCTCAATCTGATCTAGCGTAAGACCAATAAGTCCAACAGACCGTGCATTGCCAATCTGGCACATTTCCTCTCCAACTGCAGCCTCGATAACACCCTTGCCTCCTTTGGCGTTGAGATCGCCCTCGAAGCTCTGGAATAATTGGCGGAGAGGGTTCAGAACATGGTCGCGGAAGAACTTGACGGTCTTTTCAAGATGAAGCTGGTCGCGTAGCGATGGCGAGGAAAGCAGCAAGTAGTATAAACTCAACGCGGAATGAAGCTGTGGGCCTTCAGTCTGTGTCAGACAGGACCAGCTAGCAACGAGATCGGATGCTGAGCTGGCGGCAGTGACCGGTTTGAACAGAGCCGGGAATAGAGCCCAGAAGTAGAGCGGATCTTGGAATATATTGTCGGATGATTGGCTGGGGCGAAGTAGTTCATCCTTCAGCCATGCAATGGCGCTATCCCGCGCTGAGGTAAGATGGTCATCTTCCAAGACCTTGTGGATGAGCTTAAACCGCGTCTCAGGCGACGGATGGCTCTGGACAATGGTGGCCGGAATTTGGCGGACGATGCCGTGGCTCTGGCGTGCTGTGCATGCGGTCAAAGTGACAACAAAATCCATGAACTCGGTATCGCTTGGTGGTGGTTTAATGGGCTGTTGAAGAGCGTAGACGGTCAAAGCCAACAGCGAGTCGAGAAGCGCATGAGGTTGACCGAAAGCCACTTCGTCGAGATTGGTGTGGCCGCCCACAAAGTTGTTAAATATCTGAGCCAGCTCGGGGAAGACAGATACTTGACGGAGCGGTTGTCCAGATGCAAAGAGGGTCGCGCCTGCAGCCCGAGCTGCTAGTAGTAGGAGTGAACCATGTCGTTCTAGTGGGATCTGATCGGGGTTTGTTGGCGGTTCATCGAAATCAAGTTGAGCGGTTTGATCTGCCGGGGATCTTGATATGATTGACAAGAGTTCCTCGTTATCAATTCCAACGTCTCGTGATAAAGCCTAAGGAAAAGCAGTTAGATTAATCATTCTCAAGTATTGGCAGAGTGCTATCTATGACTTAGTCTCACTTACCATAATCTTTCCCATAATCATGTCACGCTCCTTGAGCTCCTTGGTAGATCCATATGCCTCGGTCTGCGATTGGGCGGCAGGTAGCCGTAGATCCGGATGCAGGTGCTCCTGCATTCGAATAGTCCACGACATTCCCGGGTCCATAGGACTAGAGAAGCTCAAGAGATATGACTTCACTAGCTCAAGCAAGCCGAACTGTATGAATTTCCGAACAAGAAGGGTCTCGTTATCGGCAGACGGTGAGGGCGAGGATACCTCAGCTTCTGGGTCTGGGGCTGAGGCAGCAGCAACCCTTAGTATGCTTGACTCGCTAGCAGCCCTGGGAGGTGGGGCAGGCCGCTTGGAGGGAGACACTTCGCGGAAGAACTCAAGGAAAGCTAGGGTGGTTTCGTTGGTCGCCATTGCCGTATACGCTTCGAGAGATGCCTGGAGTGAGGTTGCCACGAAACGGCTTGGAGATTTTGTCTGGATCCGGGCATGAAGTACAGAAAGCATTCCAAGAAGGCAATTGAACTGTATGATGTGCAGGGGCAGTCCCTTATCAGCCTTCTCATCGTCATCCTCATCCTCCTCCGGGTGAAGTTGCATCAGAGACTCAGAGACGCGTAAGATTACTTCTCGGGGATTGCCTAGTCGAGCCACATCCTGTAGGCATTCCGTGGAAGCTGGTAGCATAGGTAAGAGCAGCTTAACCAGATCCCAGCCGATGTTCGTCGTGAGCTTCTCATCTTGCAGGAGAGTGTGCAAAAGTGGCAGACGTTCTGGAGTTAACTGATACTCTAACAGAGTAAGATAGGTCAGATAGTCCGTAGCCGGAGGCAATGCTTGAATAAGAGGGTCCTCCATGGTGATGGTTGACTATTTGACGTCGCAGGATGCGCGGGGAAGATGAAACACGGCGATGACATCAGCGGCAGAATCCCGAAGAAACACGGGCCGATCGCATCTCCGAACTATAGACCTGTCTAGACAATCAAGTTAATGTGAACAGTTAAGTATTTTTTTTTGTATTGCTAGATTCATGTCGTTTTCTCCTCGGTAGGAAACTTGCGACCATATATGGATGTTTTTATCATTGGTGGTCTATCTAGAACCCCGCCTCACTATGCATAGATAGATACCTTCGGGATTTACTTGAATAAGGCTAGTATGGCTGTATGAGTGTTTTCATCTATGGATGACCACTTGCATAAAGGTTATGGGGCTAGTCTCTTTTTTCGAATTTATAATGGTGTTACGCCATCCTTCGATATTTTGCTTCGACTCGGCTTTTGTACTACATTTGCCGAAACTAGGGGATGAGTTGGTCAGATGACCCATTCCCCTGTGGCTAGTGAGGCTAGTCACCGATTCTTAAATTTTGCAGAATTCTGAAAAGACAAGGCCAATAAAATTAGAATAGTCACGTGGGCGGTAGGCCTGCCATTGTTTACTTATGTACCTGGGTAGGTACCTGGTATGTAGTATTCTCTAAACGAATCGGTATGGGCCAGATTTTATTTATCGAGGTTACAAAAAAAAAGTTAGGTACAAATTAGTGAGGCATAGCCCCTTCATCAGCCACTATAAAAGTTCCAAAATTGACAGGGTTCCACTACTTAAGTTGGGCGGAGAGGAACAGCCACAGCCGCGCGGCTGGGATTGCGTTGATCGGCCCAAAAATAACTCCTTGAGTAATACGACTGCCTACCTTACTGCTTCAGCCTTCTTTCATCTCTTGGTTGCTTTCCATTTTATATAATCTGCATTCTCCACAACTAAATATACATCCACACTTTTTACGATTTCATGGATTCGCCTTTTTGCTTCCGAAACTAAAACAAAGACTGCAAGGCACCATGGCCTCCAACGAATACTATCATACGAATATCCCCCAACCTCCCACTTACGACCAAGCTGTACCTGGGAAGACACATGAACACCCGCCCGCAGTTCCTGGATTTGGCTACGCAAGCCCCAGCTACAACCACGATGATCCCTCAGCCCCCTATCACAACAGAGAGAGTCAACAGTCATTTGCATCGGATAATGGACATTACCAGGCAGCTGGACGGGCAACGGATGGCGATAATTACGCGGAGAATATTCCCTTGAAGACCAATACCCAGTATGGAAATGCCAACACCCAGTATGGAAACGATCCAGATTGGATGCGCCAACAGACGCATTACCCTCCATCACCAGGGGGTATTGAGGATACCCGACAACGTGATAGCCGAAAGAAGACGGGATTTTTCAGCAAGAAGATTGCCTGGGTGACATATATCTTGACATTAGCCCAGATCATCGTATTTATTGTCGAACTGGTCAAGAATGGTGAGTTCTGCCTCAGTGCTGTTCTAACATTTAGGATCAGCTAATGAAACTCTTTTCACTCCAGCCCAGTTGACAGGGTCAGTCATTGAAACGAAACCTACCTTCAATCCGATGATCGGGCCCTCGCCGTACGTCCAAATCTACATGGGAGCACGCTATAATCCGTGCATGAAGAACGTCGAGGGGATCCAGAATGCCAACCAAACCATACAGTGGCCCTGTCCAAGTTCCACAACCGCGACGGGAGATTGCACTCTGTCTCAAGTGTGTGGTTTTGGTGGTGTTCCCAACCCCCATGTTTCGGGGTCGACGGATGACCAACCGGCTCCCAACCAGTGGTACCGATTCATCATCCCTATATTCCTGCATGGAGGATTCATCCACATTGGATTCAACCTGTTGGTTCAAATGACCATGGGTGCGGACATGGAACGTATGGTTGGCATGTGGCGGTATACCGTGACCTACTTCGCCAGTGGTATCTTCGGTTTTGTTTTGGGTGGAAATTATGCCGGGCAGCTCGATCCCAGTGATGGCTGCTCAGGCGCCCTATTTGGTATCCTTGCTCTTTATCTTCTTGACTTACTGTATGATTGGCCCCAGCGTCAATCTCCGTGGGTTGAGCTTATCATAATGGTCCTCGGAGTGGGTGTCTCCTTCGTTCTCGGTCTTCTCCCAGGATTGGACAACTTCTCCCATATTGGTGGCTTTGTCATGGGCCTCGCCATTGGTATGACTATCATGCGGTCGCCAAATGCTCTCCGCGAACGGATTGGTCTGGCGCGACAGCCATATGTTGCCATGAGCGGCGGAGCTGGCCAAGCTGGCCCCGAGCAAAAGACCACCTCCTTCATGGATTTCTTCAAGGGCAAGCGAGCCCTCACCTCCAGCTCAACAGAAACCCCCGGTTCTGCAGGCCCGCTCAACTTCTTCAAGGGCCGTAAGCCTCTCTGGTGGCTGTGGTGGGTCGTCCGTGCCGGTGCCCTAGTTGCGGTCCTCATCGGTTTCATTATGTTGATAGTCGATTTTTATAAATACCCTTCCTCGCACTGCTCCTGGTGTTACCGGTTGAGTTGTCTCCCCGTCAATGGCTGGTGTGAGCAGAACAATTTGCCGGTCGCCACTGTCACGGGCGGCAAGACTGGTTGAGATTTTCTTTTCGGCTCGCGTTCGAGAACATTGCATTTCAAGGCAGAGCTTCAATGAATCTATTAGCATTACATATATTATGACTGTAACTAGAGTCAACATCTTCACGTCTATACCAATATACATCTATAATAATATGTAGTAGCCTACACTTTAGTGATATCCCTTGTTCTAGGATATTTTTTAACCGCCAAAATAGAATATTGCTACCTAGGGATGATGCGCTGTACTTGGTGTCCCCAGCGAGTTATGTTGTACGCACCTTTTTGTGGCTGGGGCAGTGGCGGAGCATGTCCAAATTACCGTAACTTTACCGTACCGTACATTCCACCTGATAGCCTGTTCCCATCGCATATAGTAACCCTCGATTCTGAAACCCGTCTTATGCTTTCCAACTGGCTATAATGGAACCGATCCCCTGAAATTCCTCGATGCACAACCTTCTTTCCCCTGTGCCATAAATTCTCAGTCATGGCCACCTTGGCCTCGTCACCTCCGACCTCACCCTCGTGGCCGAAACGACGTCCTCGAGCCTGGGCCCTCCGCTGCGAACGATACTGCTGTGCAGCAGCAAGTTGCTTTCCACTCGTCTTTGTCTACGGCATCACCACATGGGCGGTATACGTAGCTGTCAGCATCGGCATCAAGCCCTCAAGGAGTGACTGGATTGGTATGATATCGCCCGGACTCGAATAGGGCTTATCCGGTTGTACTAACATGTCGGCAGGTATCCCGAGCTCGATCGTCGCATTTTCCCTCTACACCCTTCTCAACTTATCATATACTGTCGCCGTTTTCACCGACCCAGGGTCACCGCTATCTACCTCTCGCGGAGCTGACCGTCATGAATACAGCGCCCTCCCTCCCTCCGAGCACCCGGAGTTCACATCATATACCGTCACGTCGACTGGTGAATCACGGTACTGCAAAAAATGCCAGTGTCCGAAGCCGGACCGCGCGCACCACTGCTCGACGTGCAAACGATGCGTCCTCAAGATGGACCACCACTGTCCCTGGCTGGCAACCTGCGTTGGACTACATAACTACAAGGCATTCCTACTATTTTTGATCTATACATCGATCTTTTGTTGGGTTGTTTTTGCCATTGCTGCCGTTTGGGTCTGGACAGAGATCCTGAACGATACCCAGTATATGGATACTATTCTCCCGGTCAATGTAGTTCTGCTGGCTATCCTGGGTGGCATCATTGGACTGGTTCTAGGTGGATTCACAGCCTGGCATATCAGTCTAGCTATACGGGGTACCACTACCATTGAATGTTTGGAAAGAACCCGGTATGTGTCACCTTTGCGTAAAGCGCTAGACAGACGGCGGAATGAGCAAGCGCCCAACAATAACTATTGGGGCGAGCCGGGCGAGGAAAGCCTATCCAACCGACTGCAAGGATACGGGAATCAGATCATCGATGCCCATGCCAATGCAATCCCTGGAGTCACCCGGGCCGAGGAGGGCGAAGAGCATATTTATGCTATGCCGCGCCCGTCAGGGCCCCCGAACGGCTCAGGTAATGGCCTAACACCAGCGCAGCAGGCGCTGACCCGGTCATACGCCGAAATGGAGCGACAGCGAGAGCACTCGCGGTACGAGGAGTACCAGAACGACGAAGACAACGAAAAAATGCCCAGCGCGTTTGATCACGGCTGGCGACGTAACCTACTCCACCTCTTCGGGGACCGGCCGCTCCTTTGGGCTGTGCCCATTTGCAATACGACCGGCGATGGCTGGCACTGGGAACCAAGTGCGAAATTCCTGGAAGCGCGTGAACAAATGCGGCAGCGTCGTGAGCAGGAGTCCACTGAGGAGCAGCAATACTATCGCGAGTTGTACCAGCGCAATCTCGACAACAGTAATAGTTGGAGGGAAAGCGCTGCACAGCCGCAGCGGGTGCCAAACCGTGGTAGCACGCCCGATCGGCCTCCAACCTCCGTGTCGATGCAGACTCTTGCGCCCCGGTCGCCGCGGCCAAGGCCTGGTGATAGTGATTATGGGGATGATGTGGAAGGGAACGGGTTGTTGGATCCAGGCGCTGGCCGCCAGCAGGCTACACGACGTGATACTGATGACTGGCGAGATTGGGACTAAACAAAGCGGCGGTGTAGCATTTCTAGGTAGCATCTTGAAGGCGTTGTATGTATATTGTGAAAGCATTTATGTCGTCTATGAATCTCAGGTATGCCTCGATATAGATCTACTATCTTAAGACTTCCATGGGCATTAGGACTTTATAGTACACTGTCTATTTTTCCATATAATGCTATAGTACTGAAGCTCGCCACCCAATAAACATCTCCCCGCAAAACCGAAACCGGGACAACTGTCATCATTTATCTTTTATCTCTCTCTTATCGCTCTCTTCCTCTCCCAACATTGAACCTTGGAATTCAAACATCCTCCAGTTCAATACACAACATGTCTTCCCCCTCAACCCGTCGTCTACTAAAAGAAAGCACCGATCTTCACAAAAACCCAAGCCCGTACTTCACAGCCGCCCCAATAAGCGACACAAACCTACATGACTGGCACTTCACTCTCGCCGGTCCTCCCTCTCCCTCCCCCTACGCTCAAGGCCTCTATCACGGACGCATTACCTTTCCAGCCACATACCCACTCCGCCCGCCCTCATTCCGCTTCCTCACACCTTCCGGCCGCTTCGAAGTCAACCGCGAAATCTGCCTAAGCATATCCGGCCACCACGAGGAAACATGGCAGCCCGCTTGGGGTGTGCGCACCGCGCTACTGGGCATCCGGTCTGAGATCTTTACTTCAGAGAGCCAGGGACAGGTTGGTGGAATGGAGGGCAATGACGAGGTGCGGCGGGAGTATGCGCGACTCTCGCTTAACTGGCGTTGTCGGGAGTGCGGGACTACGAATCTAGAGGCTATGAGGGAGCTGTGGGAGCTTTGTCGAGAGCGTGGAGTCGAGGTCGAGGGAGAGGTTGCGGGTGTCGAGGGCCAGGAGACGGTTGAAACTAAAGCTAATGCGCCGGCTCCGGCTCCGGCTTCGAGTGGGGATGATATTCCTATCGCAAGTGAGGACCAAGCGAAAGAGGATGATACTATAGAGAGTACGGCTGCGGAATCTGTTCTGGCTTCTTCTGCGCCTACGTCAGTGCCAGCAACACAAGCACAAACGCAAGCACGCACACAAGCGCAGGCGCAAGCACCGATATCTACTGTACAAGCTCCGGCTGCAGCCCTTATTCCTACGCAGACAAGCTCTCAATTGGCTTCGATGGATTCTCCTTCTGAAAGTGTCTGGCTGGACCGGGCTATCATTGGTGTGATCGTTGCTCTTGTCTTGTTGATATTGCGTCGAGTGGCGAACGTCGACGATCTATAAAGGATTCGGGGTTTTTACGCGTAGAATAGAAGGACCTGTGAATTGAAGCTGAAAATGACTTATAGCACCAAAACGGCCGCCTTTAAATTGGTCTAATCGTGCCAAGGGCCGAGTAGGTTGTGTTAGTGCGCCCCAGTCAACGATAGTTCTCAGTGAACAATAAATTGAAATTTGGCACCTTTTATATGCGATCATACAAAAGGGTACAAAGGATACAAAATTGATAGCGTTCATTTTTGTCAACCCTCTAGATAATTAGTGAGATTATATGCAGAAGACGTTCTTTAGTTGATTTACTATGTAGTGCTAACATTGATCAACAGAACCCAAAGTATATATCTCAAATTTCTTTATGTATAATACTTTCTTGATATACTTCTCACATTTCTACACTAATTATTTAAAATTAACCATAGTAGTATAGATTTAATCATATCTGTAGTATTATAAACACTGTTCTTCATCTTTCAGCTAGTTCGAAGGCCGAGGAAATCAAGGTCTTCGTATTTGTTGTACCTTTTGTATGACATTTCCACACAGAAGGTACCTGAGTTCAAGATTTATTGCTCACTGAGAATTATCTTTGACTGGGAATTATTGTTCACTAGGGCACACGCTTGGCAGAATTATTATATTAATGTTGTATGGTAGATACATAATCAGCAAGCCATTCGCTTGCTACCTAACATGTAGTAAGGACGACCCTCTTCCTTTGGGCATATACCAAGCCGTGGCTTTAGTGATCATTGCCTGAGCCTAGATGCACCAGGCACCAAGCGCATCGCTTTCCACAGACTCTAGCAAGAAACAAGAAACAAAAAAAAAAACACACCGAAACCACCAACAAGAACCAACTTGAAGCTTTACAGACTTCAATTCGCCATATACCACTTCTGGGCGATTTGATGCAACTTTCTGCGGTCAAGCTTGTTAGACCTTGTCCGGGGGATCCGATCGACGAGTATAAACAAGCTGGGCATCATATGTTTTGGCAGAGTGCTCTGGACTTCTTTCTGCATCGCTTCCACCAAAGTATTCACTCGGATCCGATTTGTTATGGGAAGGAAGGACATATCCCGGTCGGAGATCCCAGGAAGAAGATTCGCAGGGTTATCAGCCAGGAAAACAAAAGCCACCAGAATAGGATCGTCAGTACCGTCAATTTCACCGAGGATATCAACGACGGTGAAATCGCCCGGCGAGAGAGTTTTGCGAAGAACGTACTCGACTTCCGTCGACTCGACACGACCGCCGTTGAGTTTAAGAAGTGTATCCTTCCGACCCATATGCTCGACCGTGCCATCATGGCGATACCGTCCCAGATCACCAGATCGGTAGATGCGAGAGGTCGACGCGCGCGATGGGTGGAGATCCGCAATCCATCGAGGGACTTCACTGAGGAATCCGACATCAGGCTTTTGGCACAGGTCATCCAAGTACCCACGGGAGAGATGGGGACCTTCGATCAAGATCTCGCCGACAGCGCCGATAGGCACTGGTCGCTCCGGTGAAGAGGCATTCGCAATCCAAATCGCGCCGCTACCGGATTTGCCGACAACGGCATTGTGGCCTGCTTTGGGGTTGTCGTTGTAGGCGCAGAAGGTGGCTGCTTCGCCCATTCCGTACTGATTTACTAGCTTGACATGGGGACCCCATTTCATGAGGAGGTCGTTTGACATGGGCTCGCCGCCGACGCAAAGTAGTTCCAGTGATGGAACGTCTTTGGGATTGACTTGGATTGCGATTGTTGGGGTCATGAAGCTCATGTTGGCTTTTGTGAGATTGATGTTTTCAATCAGACTGGAGATGGTTTTTTCGGGTGTTGGGACACAGCAACAACCTCCGGCTGCTAAAGCTGTCAGGTAATCATTATTGCTGATGTCGAATGCGTAGTCGTCGAATTGGAAGACACGACTGTGTCGGCCTAGACCGAGGACCTTGTTGTAGTCTCGGATAGCTGTGGCGTATGACCGATGTTCCTGGATAATGCCTTTGGGTTGGCCCGTGCTACCGGACGTAAATAGAATCAAGCAGGCGTTTCCTGGTTGGACTGCGGAAGAAAGCTGTCCTGTTGGAAGCTTTCTTACACTCTCTCCTGTGATTGAAATGACGTTTGAAATCATTGAGGCATATTTCGATGTATACTCCGGAGATGTGAGCATGATTGTAGCATTGACGCGAGTAATGACCGAGTCGAGGAAGATGGGAGGGTCACTCGCGTCGATGGAGATGTACGCTCCGCCGGCTTTCAAAATAGACAGGCGGGCAATAATCGCGAAAGCGGACTTTTCGAAGCAGCTGAGCACGAAAGTCTCGGGGCCAACACCAATAGTGGTCAAATGAAGGGCAAGACGAGTTGTGAGATCATCCAACTCTTTATAGGTGAATTTTCCATCCCAAGAAAAGATCGCAGTAGCGTCCGGGGTCAGTCGCGCATGCTCCAACGCCATATCATGTAACAGCACCTCGTGAGATTCGGAAACCTCTTTCGTGAACTTTTGGAAAAGAATGAGGTCAAGGTCCGAGCATAGGTCGAGGTCGCCCAAAGATGTTGCGGGGGAACGGTATATGGATGCGACGACCTTGTTGAAGCAGTGAAGAAGGCTTGTTGCGAATTCCTTGGACATCTCAGGCGATGAGAAAGCGAGGCTTGCGTGGAGATTGCCATTTGCATTTGTGACGTTGAGCATCAGCTTTGGATTGGGGATCTAAGACGAGACGAGATCAGTTCTGCTGTCAATGAGTATGTATAATCCCGGGTAAAAGGTACCTTTGAATTGGCAGACAGAGGTGCCTCTTGCAGAATTTTACGATCACCGGCATAGCGGAAAACTGAAGTGAGAAGGCGATTCTTCTCATCGGAAGAAGACCCTTCGTCGGGGTCAGTTGAGTTGAGGCCGGCCTTGATATGACAGAAATCTCGAACGAGGTCCTTCAAAGGACGCTCCGCGGAGAACTCCAGGGCACGTGAGTTGGCGCCCTGACTTTCACCATCTATATAGCATAGATTTGATGCAGTATGGAAGGCCAGGTACATGGTCCTCACCGGGGAGAAACCATGTACCACCAGGAGCCAGCAAACAACGAGAACCGACTCGATGTCCAGGCCCTGATCCAGTCCGGGGTCCAAGTACTCCAAGTATTGGGAGTTTGCTGCTTCCACTATATGAGACTCAGAAAGAGTAAGTGGAAGATCAACAACTTGTGGAACCGGAATGGGAGCTTTCTTGAGCTTCAAGGTGTTGGGTATAACCGAGTACTCATGTTCAAGAGTTGTAATTGAGGGCGCCATGATGGATAGTAGAAAGTATAGAAGTACAGTTTCGTATCTTCTATTGCATGTCCGAAGGTCCAATAAATAGATAAATTCAATTGAAGGGATAGGGCAAGAAAAGTTCAGCTTCGCGTAGTCCGGGATGTGGTTCATCGGACTTGGATTGGTGGCAATGCATATATTTCTTTTTTTTTTTTTTCCTTTTTCCTTTTTGGTTTCTTTTTGCTGTAAGGAACTGCGTAACCCAAAAGCCCCGAATCTTCTGATTTGATTTCGTTTGGTGGCTTTCAGCTGCACAGCATCTCTCAGCTCCTCATCACTCGATAGTATCCCCGGGGTCTCTGTGCTGTTGATACCTTAGATCCTGCTAGACCTTATATTCTGCTTTCTGCTTGAATTAATCTGTTCTTTTAACTGACAAATTCCTCAACTCCTTGTTGTCTGTACCACCCAGTCATGGCCCAATGGTTTACGAGGAAAGCAAGGTCATCTAGTACCTTTATACTAGTTGCCCTATGTTTTGCCTTATTCACGGTAGGTGTATAATTCCAAAATGAAATCACCAACTAACTTGAACATCTAGGATACTTTTATTTATGGCATTGTGAGTATTTTTATATCAAATATCATAAGGTCCAACTGACACATATCTAGATTGTACCCATTCTTCCTTTTCTATTGATGAAGCATGATATGGATCCAAGGGATGGTAATTTTACTATATCTTCCTATTTGGAAAATGCTAACTTGACTTAGTCCAAAAATGGTCCTCTATTTTATTGGCAAGTTATGGCGGTGCCTTACTACTTGGCTCTCGTGAGTAAATTCTCCAATTAAAATATTTCATTTGCTCTGACATGCACAGCTGTGGTCGGGTACTTTTCTGATAAATATCACCCTCGGAAGGCACTGGTTGGTGGATTCGTTGCCATGGCCTTAGCGACTGGTCTATTTATTTCTGCAAGTAATGCCTGGGTCCTTCTCATTGCTCGCGTATTTCAGGGTTTCTCAGGTGCAGTTGTTGGCGTTTTGGGCTTAAGCATGATTGCCCAAACAGCCAGTCCCGAACACTTAGGTTCGCATATGGCCTGCGGGTCAGCTGCACTGACATGGGGAATGCTTTGTGGCCCCATGGCTGGGGGTTTCCTGTAAGTTTTCCAATTGCTAAATGATTTTCCTGTTCTAAAAAAGGTAGGTTTTCCCAATTTGGCACGGTTGGTGCTTTCGGGGTTCCGATTATACTGCTGATAATTGATATTTTGCTACGAATCTTGATTATACAAGGTTTGTCACTTCAGTTTGAATTCTTCCAGATGCTAATAAAGAGACAGATGAAATTAAAATCCATCATGAGGAGTCACCTCTATTGGAAAGTGATGTCTCTAACGATACGGAGTTGAGCTTCTATCATTTGTTGCATCCAATCATGTTGGGTGTAATATTTTGTGTTTTTATAATTGCTTCCATTCTTTCCGCGTTTGAATCGGTAAGCTTCATTCCCCCCCTAGCCCCTACAAAGAAGCAAAGCTAATAGATGCAGACACTGCCACTCTATGTACTTGACACATACCATTGGTCTAGCCTAGGCGCGGGGCTCGTATTCCTCCCAATGACCATCCCCTCCGTCCTTAGCATTTCAATTACCCATCGTATCAGGCATTTCTCCCCACGCGCGGTTGTGGTGACCGGATTTGTCGTGATGGCCGTGCCAATGGTATCACTACGGTGGACCCAAGCAAATACCATCCACCATGAAATCGCCCTTGCTTCCTTGCTCTTCGTTATCGGGGTCTGCCTCACAACAGTACAAGCTATTATTATGAGCGACGTTTCAAATGCCGTCCGGAGGATTGAAAGCCTTCACGGGATCGGGGAAGAAAAAAGTGGCGGACAGGGACGGGGCTACGCGCTTTGTAATATGGCATTTGCGGCTGGTCAAACTCTAGGCCCAATGGCTGGTGGATTCATCAAACGGGAATTGGGATGGGGATTTATGACACTAGGTCTTGCAGTTCTATGTTTGGTTGCTGGCTTTCCGTCGTTCTTTTTCATGTCGGCGACGCCGCCAAAGACCGAGGGGAAAGCCAATGAGGATGATTGTTGAGTGTATGGAGTATTTTGTACTAAGATTTGTATACAATAGTGTGCGCTAGGCGAATAGGCAACAGAAATAATACATCTCGAGTCAAAATGTGATATTCCATATGAAATTATCCGCATATTTCACCATATTGACAGTGAGATGTTGTGCTCGTAAAGCCTGCATGAGCGATCCCCAACGTTATTTTCTTCTTCTATAACCGAAAGGCTGGATTTTAGGGAACTAAACGTGCAGTGACGATCATGTAGTGACCAAGTGAGTTTATGCATATGAACTGCTTCATTTCTGCGATAGAAAACTGCGGGGATGTCACATCTCCTTGTAATGTGATAACTTCGAGATCTCATACAATTTTCTTTTCAGCTACTACAGCCAAAAGAAATTATTTCGTTAATTTTAATCACTCCACTTACTTACATATACGCCAGCCACGGGAAGCTAGGGTAGAGACAGCGCCATGAACATGTTATATCCAAAGCCCGAAGAGCAAGACAGCTGATTCTTCACGGAGTACTCCGTACAAGGGAGTGGAATGGAAAGAAGAATCGGAGCAGTCATTGGGTTTGAGGATCATGCCCACAGCCCAATGGGCGTGTAAGATGCATCTGCTGTATACGCTGCCAAGCTTCATGCCATCGATATAACACCTGCACTAGTCTTAGAATGGAAATAGGGGCAGCACAAGCGTAGAATGGGTGCTCGGAGAGACAGCCAATATAGGCTTAATATTCCTCAATAGCATATATTTAGAGCTACGGAGATATCGGATGAACTTATGCACGTCTATCACTTCTCAGCCAGCCATTTCCTCACGTACACCTGTCACTTCTCCTATTTCTGAATGCAAATATACCTAATTCTCCAATGTGGCTGTCGGTTAAAATGATATGAGATACGTCGAGGAATGCAACTCGTGTTCGTTCATGTACTAGGCCCCTAACAGTTGGCACTTCTCACCTGCATGACCATACAAAAGTACTTAAATTTTGTGACATTCTAGCCGATCACCAAATTCCCCCACATAATTTATTTAGTGTCCATGCCTAAATCCTCTTAATTCAAGGTACCTATAGTACTTGTAGTTACATTCCAATTTTATATTGGAAGCTCTTGGTCCTGTGGTTTTAACCTTTGGAAGCCATTTAAGCCATCGCATGCGTTGGCAAGCCATTCGCAAGCCACTGGCAAGCCATTGGAAAGTTACATTAATCACAAATTATGCTGACCTTTTATTGTGCTATGTGACTTTGTTTCTTTTTTCCGCGGAATTATTTCAAGTAGATTCAAGCATTTAATATCAAGTTAATATAATTCGATTTTACCAAATGAGAACCCTGTTTCCACCCCTTTCTCCACCTCATGCACCACAGTCTCCAACAGTCCCATTCCAGGTAATTTGAAACTGGAATTGATAGGTTCAGCATGTTTACTTGTTCGGCTCTCTGAGATCTTGCGTAGCGCCTCCCAGGATTGCTTCGCCCTCTCTGCATGTAGGGCCGGTGTTAGGTGGTGCCGATCTGCCAACGAACGCGAGAAAACTTCGTACGCAAGGTAACCCGTCCAACCGAGATCGAGAATAGCCTTGAGAATTTTGAGAACAGGTAAGAAACCACCCCGCTCAGTCTCACAAAGGAAAAGCCGACAGTTCCGAGACCAGCTCAGTCGACTGGGCTGGCCGTCAACATAGAAAGCGTGACCTGGGCGTAGAGGCTGGCTGAGACGCTCTCCATCGGCTATCTGGACTATGAACAGCTTGCTGATATCTAAAGTAGAGGCTATACGGCTCAACGAGGCGGATAGATCCGCCTCGGCTGTGTTCGCCACACGACCGTCTTCCGTGGTAGGGTCGGCATAGATGGCGCCGGCTATGTTGAACGTATCTAGGGCGAGGCCAAAATTGGGCCGATCAACTGCCTGAACAATTTTCCAGGACTTTTCCCAGGTGTTGACATGGTTGCCCCAGGCAAGTGCCTCGTAGGCGAATTTGATGGAGTGTTCATGTTGGGCGCCTCGTGCTGCCAGTTCGCGGAGATCTTCGACAATGATATCGAAATCTCCCACTGTTTGGGGAAGCCCAGTTGCGGGATCTTCAGGGAGGAAGTTTGAGGGAACTAGGATAGTGTCTGCGCCGAGGATCTTCAGCGCGTCCATCCATATCGGAAGCACCTCGTCTAGGATTTGATTGCGCTTTTTGCGACTGACCAGACCCTCATAGAAACGTAGGGGCTGGAGGTTGAGAATGACAATGTTTAACCTGTCACATTGTTGGCGGATCTGATGGGCAGCGGCTAACACAGATTCGCGAGAAGGAATGGAGGTGGCAGGTGCTGAGCTGATGTCTCTGGCCAGGGTCTCGAGGTCATCGATGAAGAGTTCGATCGCCTTGAATCCATTTCGGGCCGCTTCATCAATCTTTTTGGTAATGCTGTGAAAGTTGCAGGACCCAAGAGAGACTGTAGTGATAGCTGGTTTGCAATCCATCTTGAAGATTGAAATGGAAGATTTAACGTGAATGAATCGAAGAGGATCGCAACCCTAACTGATTCGAAGGGACAACGTATATATACTGGGCATTCTACATTCGTATAAGGACCTACGTAAATGGACTAGTGTGTATGAGAATAAGGGGGTGTTGTTGTCTTCGGAGGGTCGTATCCCGGATGTTCTGTCACCTGCAGTAGCTTCCCAGATATTCTCTTGATGCGACGCAAGCCCATAGCATGCAGCTGCCGCCTCCCTCAAGCAGTGGCGCGCTGAGCTCAAGAGACATTTGATCGACAGGAAAAAGCAAGGAGCTCCTCGTCTGTGACTGGACATTCTACCAAGTACTTCGTATTCCGTAGAGATATCTCATGGTCTCTGTACAACATGATAGTCCTCGGAGATACATGTGTGTACATGTGTATACTTATCTATACTTATGTATACTTGTGTATACTTGTAGAATAAAGTATAACTGGCGTATAGTATTATGCACCTGCAGGTTTACTACCAAAATGCCACGGAGGCTATGCGATCACTTCAGCTCATCCTCCTCCACAAGAAAATTCAGCTGTAGAATAAAAATAAAAATAAATAAAATCAATGTGACTTATATAATTTACTAGAAAACGTCTGAATATAAATAATATACCAAAGCCAGGCAATTATCCCTCGATGTTTCTTTTCAAACACTTTGTTTATACCAAGCCACCCCAGAAAAAGCCTTCAAAAATGACAACCGAGTGGAAGTATTATCCCATCCATGGAATCTCGGTCAATTCCGAGGAACCATCCAAGTTGGGTCCTGAGGTTCAAGTTCCTATCCGTCAGGAAATTGACTCATGGAGCAACAATCCCATCAACGAGAAGCAAGTCAAGCTATTTGTGATGGCATTGTCTCGCTTCCAAAAGATTGACCCCAAAGATCGAGACTCATACTTCCAAATTGCTGGAATTCATGGACAACCCAATGTCCCTTGGGATGAGCCTATTGACTCCAAGGATGCAGAGGGAAGAGGATACTGTACTCATAACAATATCCTGTTCCCCATCTGGCACCGTGCTTATCTAGCACTTTATGAGGTAATTAATTTCATATCCCAAATTTTGAATTCTACTAATAACTTTGCAGCAACGGATATATGAAATCATGAGCCAGGAGATTGTCCCTGGTTTCAAGGAGGACATCCGTGCCGAATGGAAGGAAGCCGCTGATGGATGGCGTCTGCCTTTCTGGGACTGGGGTGTGTCTACTTCAGTCCCGGATCTTTGCAAGTATCCATTTACCTTTGTGCCGACCGCGGATGGTACTGGTGAAGAGAGCATCAACAACCCACTCTTCCAATTCCGCATGCCGACCAACCAGCCCATGTCCACTGCTGGTGTTGATAACTTCAAGGACCCTTGGGTGGACAATGGAGACACGCTATACGTATGTTCCAATTTTACAAGTCTAGGAATCCATTCTAACTTGAACAGTTCGGTGAATGTATTGGAACGACCCGTTGGCCTGATCAGGGCGAGAACGCCTCAGGTACTCATACGTGGAAGTATGGTGTGGTGAACAACTACAAGGTGCAGGAAGCGCTGAAGAAGCCAGTTTGGCTAGGCGAGTCTCCATACGGTCAGCCTGCGGAGATGGTCTACCGTCTGCTCACAGTTCCCATGGAATATTCAACCTTTGCAACAACGGCCCAATTGTCTGATAACCAGGACGTTCAAAACGACATCAACCTGGAGTACAGTAAGTTCACCTCGAGAGCAAACCTCTTTACATTTTTTTTGACAATATTCAGTTCACAACAACATTCACGGTTGGGTTGGCGGTGATTTCAACGGACACATGTCTCAAATCCCAGTGGCGACATTTGATCCTATCTTCTGGCTTCACCATTGGTAAGTTCATTTCCACTAGTATTTTACTCAACTGCTAACAACTTTCCAGTAACATCGATCGCATCTTTGCTCTCTGGCAAGCCCTCAACCCGGATAAGTGGTTTGAGAAGGCCAAGGTCAACGCATTCTTCCAAGAAACAATTGGCCTTCCCGATGGTTCAGACATTACCCCAAATACAGAGCTGCGCCCATTCCACAAAGATACCGCTGGAACTCTCATGAAGCCTAAGGATATCCGTTGGCCTTACAAGCTCGGTTACACATACCCGGAGTTGCAGACCTGGAACTACAAGCCCGAAGGCTACACTTCCGAAAGCTTCATCTCGACCCTCCGACAAACCGTCAACGACCTTTATGGTGTATCGAGAAAGCAACTGATCAACGCCACCGACAATATCAAGGGAGTGGAGTACCTGGCGGATGGCGCCAAGTCTCTCGATTATTCATTCAGCATTCGCTACCGCAAATACGCCCTTGGTGGTGGTGAACCCTTCTGGATTCGCATCTACATGTCGCAGGATGGAAAGACGCACAACGCGACCCAGGACTTGATCACTGAAGTTTACAACTTCAGTCAGAAGCCCGAGGACAACGCAGGAAAGCTTGCATGCGGAAACTGCAAGGACAATAAGAACAAGAACATCAAGTCTACTGCCAGCATTTCTCTCACTCCAATCTTGATCACCCTTCTCAAGTCAGGCAAGGACCTGGCCAGTCTTGCCAGGGATGATGTCTTGAACTTCATCCAGAGTAGAGCTTACTGGAGAGTCTTCAAGGGCGGCAAGGAGGTACCCTCATACCAAGTTGAGGCTCTTGACCTCGAGATCATCGGAAGCACCAACGACTCGACAGTCTACAATGACGCCACGAAGGCTCCAAAGCTTGAAAACTTCAAGGAAGAGCCTACCATCTCCGGCGGAGCTGGTGGTGCCCTGAACCCAGGCCTCAAGCAGCCCGTGACAGTTGCACCCCCAGTGGTTGCAGTGATCCCCAAGGCTGGCCTCAGGGTCAACACCTCCCTACCATTCAAGAAAATCCTGAAACCCGACGGCGTCGTGATCATCGACTCAACCAGCTTGAATTTGACACCAGCCAAGACCTCTGGCATCGATAATACCCAGATTTATCTGAACGAGGGTAAGAACGGAGACGGCGATATCCTGTTCCTCCTCTCCGTTAGACGAGCCGAGAACCAGATTGTCTTCAACTCCAAGATCAACAACTCCTTTGGAAAGGAAGTTCGTATCCCGCTGGAGAAGAGGTTCAAGGGTACTACACCTTCTATCCTTATTCATGACCAGGATGACGGTTATGAAGTCTTCATTGACTGGAAGCATGCTCTGTACTTCCCTAAGCGGGCTGCTGGCAAGGTGGCTCAGTCAGTCTCGTATACTGTCAATTCTGGACAGACACCTGTTTGGTCTCCTAGCCTGAAGGTGAAGGTGTACGATTCGATGAAGGAGGTGTTCCACCACTAGCCTATAGAAGATGGGTTTCTGCTGTTTGTCATTTTGGACCTGTGCGAGGGAACATTTCTGTCTTTACCGTTTCTTTTGGGGCTATCCGGGTACATATTGGAACAGAAATATATTTGTTAGGGTTGTTTTATAGTTTCAGAGCTAACTCAATTAAAATATCTTATGTTCTGTGTTGGAAATGGAGCCCCAAACGGTCGCGTGGAATAAGGCTCAACCCTGGTTGAAGAGCAGGCTGCATAGGTATAAGTGTCCCCTGTTACCTATAGTTATACTAGTCAAGGTAATCAAGTACGTTTTTCTGTAACCCTAAAAGTTGTAGATATTCTAATTTTAGAACGTCAGTTAGGCCAAACAAGAATAATCAACAGAATTGCAAGCGCCTATTGCTGAATCGACTGGATTATCCGCTGTAGTCCCTCTTCCAAAACGTTTAGCGGGTGGGAAAAAACCAGCCGAAACCATCCAGCTTCTTCCGCGGCGTAATTCTCCCCAGCCGCGATATAAATTTTCTCTTTTCGTAGCCTTACAAGTATATCCGCAGTCGTGGCATCTTTGACTACGGCCGCTAAGTTAACCCAAATGAAGAACGCAGCGTTGCATTCAAGGTAGGGAATCTGATGTGACCGTAGCCAATTCGTCGCAAAAACATAGCTTTCAGACAAGCGGGCCCGATTGATCGCGAGGTACTTTGCTGAAAAGCTATCATCGAGTAGGAGCGATGTGGCAATGTGATCTGCTATGCCTGACGGGATATTGTAGAGACTAGGAGAAGTCAGTTTATCTCTTCCAGGGTAAGTTCAGATGGTCTCACGAAATGCCCTCTGCAGCCTCCAAAAGTAGCTTATTCGACTGGCTGATCAATGTGCCGATCCTTAGGCCAGTTGCACCAAAGTCCTAAAGCTGTCAGTTCTGGTTGGGAGGAAATCAAGAAATTTCATACCTTACTTAAGCCCCATACAATATGTACAAAGCTTTGGTCAATGATCCCTTCTAGGTTTATAGACAGGATTGATTTGAAACCTGTTGCATCGGGAACACGAGGATTATCCCAGACAGAGAGCGCGTAGATCTCATCGGAAATAAGATGAAGTCCATTCCTCGAGCAGATCTTCAAGTATTCTTTCAAGACTTCTTCGGGATAACAACGTCCTGAGTTCCTATTATTAACTGATCGATCTGGCTCAAGTACGGGGGAACAAACCAAGAGGATTATTTGGTGAGCACAATACAAGAGCTTTGACGCGTAAGCCGTTGCTTGCCGCTTCAGCATATGCTCTTTCGTATTGTTGGACTGCAGCCATGCTGAACGGATCTACCTCTCCAAACTCGACTTCGAGAAGCCGGACTCTGAAATTGTTAGCCTAGCGTCACTAGAAAATATAGATATATTCCGCTCTCACCCTGGTCGGATTCCAAAGATCGTTCTAAATGCATTGAAATATGGCCGTCCAACCATGAAATAATCTCCAGGATCAGCTAAAGCCCAGGCACAGCATTCAAGCGCATTGCTGACGCCAGATGTCATGACAAGATGGGAGGGGCATAGAGGAGTCCGAGGCGAGAATTGACAGTTCATGAAGCGACAAAGGCTTTCTTTGAGCTTGTGCGAGCCGCTAAACCCATCTCCGTAGGTCAATGCATGTGCGTTGATTTGCAGCTGTAAGGATTGATCAATATAAAAAGGTAAGAGTCTCCTGATGACGTGTTGACTTAGAGAGATTTTACATTCGAATTTATGAAGTCCTCCATCTCCGCGTGCATAAGTGTCTTGAACTTTGTTAGTTTATGTTCAATAGAGGACTATTGTTCTCTCACATTCTCGGCAAGGCCGAGATTCACGATGCCGTTGGGGTTAGACGGAGACCATTGGTCACTCAATACAGAGAGGAAAGTTGGCCTCTGTGCCGCAAGGCATTTGCCTCTGTCAGAAACCTGCTGCATGGTCGGTGAATAGTTTGAGCCAGTTACAATGCTAAGAGGAACTCGCATTTTGAAGTGTCTCAAGAGATAAAATCAAAGTTGATCAAATGTTCTCGGAAGGCGCAATGGCTGCGGCACAAGCGGGTAGAGCGGGTAGAGCGGGTAATCATATAAGATTTACGAATTCCTAGATCTAACTTTCATTCTTTCTCTTCTTTACTTTGAGGGGTCAACACCGGTATCTGCCTTATCCCTCTTCCTGGTCATCATGACGCGTGACAAATCCGATTCGACGTCTGTCGAGCCCAGTTTGGCACCCGTCACAGTTGCTGTAGCTAGCTTCGCGAACATGTTCTGTATTGGCACAGTCTACGCTCTGAGCACGCTTCAAGCACAGCTATCTCGTCTGTTTGGAATATCCAATGTATGGAGTCTGGCACCATTTGGCGCCACATGTCTCGGCCTTTCTATCGGCGTCCTGACCAGCGCCTCGATGATCATTCAAAGCGGAGCTCACGCTACAGCCGCCAGAGGCACGACCCTCTGGGGAGTTACAGTCATTGGTGCGGGCATCTCCTTCAGCAGCTTGAAACTCGGACTCATGATTATCTGCTTCTTGTTCGGTGGGGTGGGCATTGGATGGACATACCTAGCTGTGGTTGCATTGATTACCCAGGGGCTTCCGAAGCATGCACTTGCTCGGAGTGCCATCGGACCCCTGGGGTTTTCAACCGCTGCAGCCATGTTTTTCTTCTTATCATCTGTTTTTGGAGTGGACGCAGCCGATGCGGAAACCTTAGGTCGGATGCTTGTGCTTCTAGGAGTGACGTTCGCTGCTGTTGGGGCATCAACCCAGCTGTCATTATCTATTTTCTACAAGGACTCCGCGATGGGTTCCCCTCAAAATTCCCTTACAGAAGATTCCGGGCCTTTCTTCTCGACCCTGCTCTTCTTTAACGCATTGCCTGGAATGACGCTTTTCTCCGGCTTGCTGCCCCTTGCCTCCCACTACACTAGCGATACTGACAATAAAATGTGGATCATTTCATGTTGTATGATTGCACTCGCATTTGGTGGGGTTCTCGCTCCCAGCATCTGCGCATATTTTGGAGCCAGACTTACATTTGTCGGTATACTTTTCTTGCGTGGGGTACTTCTTATCTTGCTGTCGCAATTTGAACGTTCTACACAAGCAATCTATACCATGCTGGCAATTCTTTTCGCCCACGGCACTGGGTTTAGTATTCTTCCAGTGTTGATCAAAACACAAAACAGAAATCAGCAGCTGTTCTATTTCAAGTATGGCAGAGTGTTGGTTTCATGGGGCATTGCAGGAATTGTCGGCACTGTCGTGAACTCGATCCTTCTATCTCAAGCTAGTTCGATATCGACAGGGGTGATGCTTGTTGGCTTGTTAACACTATTGTCCGGCATTATCATGTACTTTGTGCCGGCTCTTGGAGGCAAACTTTTTGCTTGATTGTCTATTGATATGGTGATGTACCGTTAAGAAAAGGCAATATCTAAATTTATATAGCACGCTTTAAAATTTTCAACAACTCTGTGCCCCAGGGTTCTCCATGTTCTACCCCGACAACCCCACAGCTTTGATCCTGACAACTTTGCGTATTTCTTCCTGCTCCTATGGTTATTGAAATGGCTCGGGTATTGCGGAGAGGTGTTGCGGGGAGAAGCAGATACCACTTCCTTTGCGGGGATTTGTGGAGAATGATACGCTAGTCCTCCCGGACATAATCGGTTGGCGGTCATAGTTATGGTGTATAGTTTTCTTGACAGAACTTGTCAATCCATTAATATTGCTTGCACTCCCATCTCTCGTGCGGACTAAGATACCTTTCCTTAATCCTCTCGCATCTTACTAAACATGCATCGCAACAGCTCGCCGAATAATATGCATGCCGACTACCCTTGGACTGCGTCCCCACTCATAGTATCGGCACCCATGGCCAAAGTCGCGATGCCCAAACTGGCTGTGGCCGTGTCTAGGGCCGGGGGTCTAGGGTTTATTGCAGCAGGATACCATAGCGACCATCTTGAGGATCTGCTAGAGGAAGCTGAGGTTCTGCTCCAGGAAGGAGTCGCGGATGTTTCGGTTGAAAATGAGAAAGGAATCCCAAAGACTTTGCCTATCGGTGTGGGATTCATAACGTGGAGTGCCTCCCTGGAAAATGCACTTCCCGCTTTTTCCAGATACTGTCCTGCTGCTGTTTGGCTGTTTGCCCCACCGAAGGGCTTTCAGAATCTTATTCCTTGGGCCACCAAAATCCGAGAGGCCACCGCATCGAGGTCCAACATCTGGGTGCAAGTCGGCTCTGTGTCAGATGCTGTCGAGGTAGTCGAAGCCATCGACCCGGATGTCATCGTGGTCCAGGGCATAGATGCTGGTGGACATTCATTAGCCCGAGGAGCCAGCATTGTTTCTCTTGTGCCAGAAATAAACGATAAGCTTCAAGAACTTCGCCCCTACCCTCAGAAGCGAGCCAATATTCTAGCTGCTGGTGGCATCAGTGACAGTCGAGGTGTCGCCGCGGCTATGCATCTTGGTGCGCAGGGGTGTGTTCTCGGAACACGGTTTCTTGCTAGTCCGGAATCTATGGTCGCTCGTGGCTACCAAAAGGCAATTCTAGATTCCTCAGATGGAGGTATAAGCACAGTTCGAACAAAGATTTACGACAAAGTTCGCGACATTCATGGCTGGCCTGAGGGCTACGATGGCCGCGGTCTGGTAAACAGGACCTTTCTTGATCATCTTGGAGGTCTCAGTGAAGTCAAAAATCGCGAGCTCTACCGTGAAGAGCTGAATAAGGGCGATGAGGGATATGGACCTAACGGAAGGCTTACCACATATGCCGGGACCGGTGTTGGTCTCATCAGAGAAGTAATGTCCGCAGGGGACATTGTGAAGTCTTTGCGTGAAGGTGCCCGCAAGATTCTGTTTGCGCACCCAAGACTTTAGGTAAAGCACCTGCCCGGGAATGGTAGTCTCTTGCTGGTTTTATCTTTTGTTTTCCATAAAGTGCGATATAGTTTGAATTTCTCCTAGCCACAGTACATGATATTCTGCCTATTGTAAACCCCTAGAACATCATACACATCTAGTGAGCATAGCCAATCTACCCCTAGTATTTCTTAATAGGGCGCATGCCTCCGATTCTATGATTGCTTCAGCCCTTATTTACTAGCTATGCGGTAGGTAAGTATGAGAACAACGGATCTAAGGCTAGTTATATTCGGCACTTTCCATAGGCCGAAAGGGCATTTCATTTACAAAATTCAGAGAGCTCCTTATGTCCGCGGAGAAACACTGAAAACACCTTGTAGATGGAACGTCTTGCGGATCCGCAGTCTTAGCACCTTGAGTGAGTGTCGGGTATTGCGGGAAGTCAGAGCCCGCGTTATCCACCTCTGCGCGCCGTGTAGGAACAAAAGACGACGAATTAATTTCACAGTGGTCTTGATCTCTATTAGACTTCCGGAGAATTTTCTCTTCCTTGAAAAATCTTGTCGATTCTTTCGCTCGGTTGTCTTGCAGTCCCAGCATCAATCATTCCTATACTAGGGCAATTTTCTTCTCATTACTCAAGCATGTCTCCAGAGCAGGTTTCTGTGATCACCGCAACTGTTCCTGTTCTAGAGCGATATGGACAGAACATCACCGAGACATTTTACAGGAACATGCTTGCCGCTCACCCAGAGCTGAAGAGCGTGTTCAATATGACCAATCAGCAAACCGGACACCAGGCAAAAGTTCTTGCAGGAGCCCTCTATGCTTACGCAAAAAGTATTCGTAACCTGGAAGCACTCGGGCCTATGCTGGAGTTGATTTGCCATAAGCATGCGTCTCTACACATTACCCCAGACCAGTACGACATCGTCGGCAAATATTTGATCGAGGCGATGCAAGAAGTTTTGGGGGACAATTTCACGTCAAGTGTGCAATATGCCTGGACAGCTGCTTATAGTCAACTCGCCAAGATCATGATTCAGAAAGAAGCCTCGCTCAATGACCAGCATGAGGAATGGAAAGACTGGAGGGACTTTTGCATTGTGACTATCTCACGCGAGTCGGATGAGATATCCTCGTTTTATCTTTCCCCTGTTGACGGCAAACCCCTTCCCACCTTCGTACCTGGTCAATACGTCTCCGTGAGTGTTTATGTCCCGCAGCTCGGCTACACGCAAGCACGGCAATACTCAATGAGCGATGTCCCGTCAACCGAATATTATCGGATTAGTGTGAAGCAAGAACGGGGCCAGCAATTCCCACCTGGGGTGCTATCAAATGTCCTCCACGACATCAAAGCACCTGGTCAAATTGTAAAAGTTTCCCATCCTCGAGGAAACTTTTTCTTGAGCAGCGTCAGTGAGACCTCGCCAATTGTTCTTGTTGCTGGTGGTGTTGGTATAACCCCATTGCTGTCGATGTTGAAGTTCCTCACTTCAACTACGTCCACGATAAAGCGTCCCATTCACCTCATCTACGCAACGAGAACCACGACTGCACGGGCCTTCTTCAAAGAGATTGCCGACACCAGTCGCTCCAATGCAACGGTCAGAGTGACGTTCTTTGTTGGATCTCCTGAGGCGGGTGACAAGGCCGGTTGCGACTATCATCATGAAGGTCGCCTCGACCTGAATCGCCTTGATGCGCAGCAAGACCTTTTCTTGAATCACACGCAAACGGAGTACTATATATGTGGCCCATCCCCATTCTTGGAAATGGTCAAGAGGTTTTTACTCGTCCAAAGAGTAGAGTCATCAAATATCAAAATGGAGGTCTTCGGTGCTGGTGGCTTTGCTGAAACCACGTCCCAAGCACATTTGTGAGCCTCTAAATAACATCTAATCACTTTCTTTTCTTCAGTTCAGTGTTGCAAGAAATACAGAAATAGAAAAGCCAATGCATCCAATACTTTACCATGACATGTCTCCGGGCCAGTTGGCTAGATAGAGTTGGCCGCCCGCAATAACCAATCTCACTCACCAGCGTTTCGCTAGTCTCGTCTTTATGCATGAAAAGAATCTCAGCGGAACTGATATTTTCTTGTCAGCACGAAACTGACTTCGACATATGCTTACACCATAGACCTGTTAGGCTCCAGTATAATAAGATCGATGCCGTATGTAAAGCCCAACCTAGTTGCATTGATAAGCGAAGGCTAGTGAACTCCCGCATCCAGACCCCGAGCCACAATGACATCAGAATCAATGTCAACCACATCAACTACATCGGATACCTAGGGAATTGTACGGAGGTCTTGCTCCTCGATGTGGGGTAGTAAATAAGGTCCTCGAGTCCCTTTGGAGCAAACAGCCAAATAGCAGCAGGGCAGTATCTAGAAAACAAGGTTGCGTTCCATCACTCTCCGCAATACCCGCGCCATCTCCATACCCGATAGAATTCCCCAAAGAGCTGACGAGATAGGACCGAGGTTGTGGCCTTAATAGGGGAGGGAACTGGGGACAAGGGAGCTTAACGAAATACCCGCAATAACCGTTGACGACGGACTGAGGACAATGCCCCCGAAATAATATGATGCCATGTTCTTTCCAGGCTATATAGAACCCAGTTAGCACCTTGCAGACTCTCGACATATCATTTCAATACAAGGTTTTCAGCAGTGCACTCCCTCATATCCTGTTGACAGATCCTCTTTCGAAATGGCCCGTACCACCGCCGGCACTGCATCAACGGGCTCAACAGTGCGCATGTCGCATGACCCTGTCACCTTTCCTACAGATACTCCCAACTTCATTGATAACGAGTTTTTATCCTCCAAGGCTACCAAGTGGATTCCGCTCTGTGATCCCGCAACGAACAACCTCATCACCCGTGTCCCACAGTCCACTCCCGAGAAACTCTCCGCAGCAGTTGCCTCTGCTCAGAAGGCATTCCCCCAGCATGGCGAGCAACCAGTATCATCGCCCGACAGCAGATAATGTTCCGCTTCACGCATTTCATCAAAGAAAACCACGACCGCCTAGCCGCTTCAATCACTTTGGAACAAGGGAAAACCTTCAAGGATGCCCGAGGAGACGTCCTACGTGGACTACAGGTGGCTGAAACAGCCTGTGGTATTACTACCCAGCTCCCAGGAGAGGTTCTCGAAGTTGCTCGAGACATGGAAACAAGAAGCTATCGAGAACCTCTTGGTGTTGTCGCTGCTATCTGTCCATTCAACTTTCCCGCCATGATTCCTCTCTGGTGTATTCCGATTGCGGTTGTTACCGGAAACACGATGATATTGAAGCCATCGGAAAGAGACCCAGGTGCTGCTTTGATTCTCGCCGAACTTGCCCGGGAGGCAGGTTTTCCTAAAGGAGTCTTGAACGTCGTGCATGGGTCTGTGGATATCGTAAACTTCATTCTTGATGAGCCTGTTATCCGCGCTATTAGTTTTGTCGGTAGCAATCGTGCTGGCGAGTACATTTACGCCAGGGGTTCAGCCAATGGGAAGCGTGTGCAGGCCAATCTTGGTGCAAAGAATCATGCTGTGCTCCTGCCAGATGCAGACAAAGGTGCCGCTCTAGATGCTATTGTGGGTGCTGCTTTCGGAGCTGCCGGGCAGCGGTGTATGGCACTGAGCGTACTTGTTACTGTTGGTGATAGTGCTAGTTGGATACCTGGACTGGTTGAGAAAGCACGAGCTCTGGTAGTATCCGCCGGTTTCGAGAAGAATGCCGACGTCGGTCCGGTTATCAGTCCCCAAAGCAAAGCTAGGATTGAATCTCTTATCGCCAGTGCCGAAACTGACGGGGCCACAGTCGTCCTAGACGGCCGAGGGTACAAGCCAGAGAAATACCAAAATGGAAACTTCGTATGTGAGAAGCCATTACAATTGCTTCTGATGCTAACGTGCTATAGGTGGCGCCAACAGTGATAACTAACGTCAAAACGAATATGAAATGTTACAGAGAAGAGATATTTGGCCCTGTGCTGGTTTGTATTTCTGTACAGACTCTCGAAGAAGCCATTCAACTTCTTAACGCAAATGAGTATGGAAATGGGGCATGTCTTTTCACCAAGTCGGGCGTGTCCACTTCATACTTCCAAAAGAATGTTGAAGCAGGGCAAGTCGGTATCAATGTTCCGCTGCCTGTCCCGCTTCCCATGTTCTCCTTCACTGGGAACAAGAAGAGCATTGCAGGGGGAGGAGCAAACACATTCTATGGAAAGCCTGGAGTGGCATTCTACACTCAGCAAAAGACGGTGACTAGTCTTTGGCGAGAGAATGTCGATGCTGGCAAACAGGTTGTCATGCCATCTCACCTGTGAAGCATTCCATCAGAGGTTTTCTTAATAGCTTTGACTGATACTTCACCTTGTTCTCTGAGACATGCTAGCTTTAGTTGATCCATATACGTATAGTTTTTGAAATCGAGAAGCATTGAAGTACCATGAACTTATTTTTTTTATTTTTCATAACTTTTCTTGAGTATGGTTAATATGTTCATACATGTAATAGTACATTCGATGAGAAAGGACTATGGAAAAATCAAGATAGAATCATCCACCAAGACTCCTGTAGTCTCCAGCAGGCCATCTCTCCCTCGCCATCAGCCTTGACAATGCCAACTTCCTCCATCCATTGCAGCATCAACACAGTTTCCCATGCGCCCATGGTGGGCTTGATCATGTTAGCAATGTTACCGGCCTTGATACCGGGTCGCATCACCAGACATCCGAGGACTGGGCCAACCACCAAATCCCAGAGACGAGGCACGAACTCTCCATTGATATCGTACCAAAGGGGGTTTTTGGGCGGAATTTTCGCGCCTGATGATGGAGGTGGGGGTGGAAGAATTGTTGCTGCGGCTTTTCCTTGAACTGGATTACCATAGCGGTAAGTTGCGGTAGGAGTAACCTCAATAGGGAAACGGAAGCGTCTCTTGTCCATCTGTCGAGTTTCGTATCCGCCATCGGTGAGACCGAACTTGGCGCGGGGGGCATCGCGAGGTCGCATCTGAATAGCACCCGAGGCGTAGAGGTTGATCAATGCAAGGATATCGCCATCGTCTGCGGCGTACTCGACGTCGGATGAACCAGTAGTTCGGAGTTGGAGATCTAGCGTCTTTAATTTGAACTGAGCGGCACGACGCAGCTGGGAGCTTTCAACAGCACGTTTGCGGCTCAGTGTCTGCAGGAAATATTCTGAGATATCGTAGTTGCGACCAGGGTTGACGCGGCCGCGGGTTGTGGAGCTGATGACACGGTCGTTGATTAGTGTCTGTGTCGCAGTGGTGATGAGCCGATCGCCAAAGCGTTGCAGGATGTCGCTCGACTCATTGGGTCGATAGGTCTCTTCTGCGGTGATGATGTTTGCACGGACCCATGTCTTCGCAGCCTCAAGTTGTTCCGCATGAACCTTTCGTGGGGTCGATTGGGTGCATGTTGCATCATCCACGGGTATAGCAAATGGATTGCGCGCCATCAAGTTGCGCTTATGGCTGATAGTAACACCGTGTACAGCCTGGTACAGTTCATCACCTGCCGTAAGAGCATCTTCGCGTAGTTCGAAAACACTATCGAATTGCTCCCGTGTTGCTGGAAGATCCGGAGCCCGTTCGGATGGAGAGACATCCAGCCTAGTGCTTGCCCACTCAACCAGGGCAGGCCAATCATAGCTGTCCAAATCAGAATAGTCAATGCGCGGGACTTCATCCCGCTCGTATGCCTCAAGGAAGCACTCCTGGAAATCTCGATGCATCTTAGTAATCTGCAAGCGATTCTTGCTGAGTATCTGACGCGCTCGCCCTTCGATAAAAGAAGAGTCATGATTTGGGAAAGCTTTCGTCACAAGAGCCCAATCGATCACTCTTGATTCTGCTCCACCCGCAAGCACGCGAACGATGACAAGAGCAAGCATGAGCTTTTGTTTGAGGTCCTCGGGGATAGGGCGCACGAATCGCTGCCGGCGAATACGTTTAGGGGTCGCTGGGGTCGCTGACTGTGCTTCTTTGTCGGGTGTTGCAGTATCATCAAGTTTAGCCAGACGGCGGTCCGGGGGAGCAGGCCGTTTCCTTCTTGGTCTTAGTATCCTTTTGAGCGTCTCCTGTTTCGGAATAGGTGTTGCAGGGGGCTGAGGTAGAGCCTGTCGCTGGCGACGGATCTCGCTACGCCGTGGTGGCAAATCCGGTTCCACTGCAGGTTGTTTCGGAGGGGGCATGTCAATATCAAACCGAATATTGCCATTGACCGGCGCTGGTTCGAAACCATACTGGATGGTTTGGTCGATAAACCGCTGGCCTTCAAGGTTTGCTTCAAACAGAGTTGGGTGATTAAGCTCCCATTTGAGAATCTTTTTGGTCTTTTGATAAAATCTCGAGCGTAGATCTTCGGCTTCAACGGCCTGGTGCATTTCCGGTTCTGGTTCGTCATGAGCCAGCTTAGATAGTTCATTGACAGATTTCTCAATGTTCAAAGCCAGCTGTTTTTCCTGCAATGGCCTTCCCCTTCTGCGTTTGGCTGCGCAGGACCCTGTGGAGAAAGTCCCAGTGGTTGGATCAAATTGTTGCACCGGATTCATTAACATGGCATACGCTCCGATGGCGGAAATTGGTTTCATTACCCGTTTGGGATGTATGATGAGCCTTTGCTTGCCAGGAACACATGTACCTGTTCGGACATATGGACGCATAATTGACGTGTTCGGATGAGCATCAAGGTCCAATTCAGGGGGGCGTGCAAGTGTCATGAGTCGCTGAACTCCAGGCACATCAGGCAGCTCATCCATTAGTTCGGCAATCTTAGCAGCCTTGGCTGCTTGGGATTCCAGGCGTCTGATGAAATTCGCCTGGGCCTGTCTCCTTTTCCTTGCCTCTAAGTTCACAATGGATATAGGTTTGTGTTGTAAGTGCACATGGGTTCCTTCTTCGACGGGGAAGGAGAATTTCTGCGTGCGGGGAGGTGCACCGTGTGGTCGACCACTATTCCTTGTCAAAGTTGGATCCAGCTCAACATTGTCCGAAAAGAAGGGACGGGACTCGTGGAAATCAGTAGCCAGGATCTTGCTCTGCATCTCTTTCACCAACGGATCGTCTGGTGACATATCAGGCTTTAACAACAACGTCCTTGTCACCATCAATTTTCTTGTGTCTCTGCCGCTGAAAGTCAACTGCCGAAGGTAGCCAGCATCAATCAATTGCTTGCATGCAGTAGTGACAGTTCGCATGTCTGGTTTTTCATTTGGATGGTGCTTCATCCATGCAGTGACAAAAGGATACCACATTGCAGTGCCCGCGGGGTATACACCATTAGCCTTTTCCATAATTTCCATGATGAGTTTTCTCCGAAGAACACTAATAGATCCGCCTCTCGTAGATAAAGACTTTGGGGATCCCGATTCCTCCTCTCCTGGAATCTCCATGTTTCTGATACTGACTCTGTTCCGAGCTCGTGGCCTTTTTGCAGGCTTGGTGCCATGAGCGCTGAAATTGAATTTCTGGGGGGCCACTGAGCCTGATCGTGGTGTCAAAACATCGGATCGAGGTGTCGGGGAGTGTAGAGTAGTGTAGTTGCTATCGCTGCGGTCGGATGGTGCTACGCGGGGTCGCTTTGATGGAGTCCCAGCTTGCTCGTCTTCGAGTGGATGAACGCTAGCACTCTTGTCGCGATGGCGCGGTGTACTCATTTTGATTGAACACTCTTGGGATGCTGGAACTACATCCTTGGGCAATATCTCATTGGCATCCTCCAAGGGTCCTTCATTGAATCCATTTTGTACCTTGTGAAGACGAGATCGTTTGGGAAGTGCGGGTGTGTCCGCTAACTGGTCAGGTAGGGTTCTCTTGACTCCCCTCGGAGTTGTTGAGATGGGGCTCATAAACCCATCGGAGTTGATAGCTTCAGAGGCAAGGCTTTCTGATGCAGCATCCCGTACCTTATCATCATCACTTGAGTCATCTTGATCCTTGACAAACCAGGGGAGTGATGCTAATTTTGGCGATTTGAAGATCGCGATTCGACTCTGTCTCGGTCGACCTCGGGCCTTGCCAGCTGGTCTTCTTCGGCCGGGGGGAGTCACATACACGCCAGGAGCAGGCTTTTCCATGACAAGAGCTTTGTATTCAGTCCAACTCTCATCCATACCAAGGGCTTCAAACTTCTCTTTCTTTGATAATCCCCTGAGGCTATCATGTTTAATTTTAGCTCTTTTGGCTCGCGGGGATTCATCGACATATTCCCAGCCGTAACCTTGGTATAGCTCCAGCTTGAGTTCAGTTCCAGATTCCAGGACTTTCGGTTCTCTGAGTTCCGATCCGTTAGCTTCGGGTTCTCCATCTTCAGATTCCTTGGCCTCGTTAGGCTTGGATCCTTTGGATTTGGCGAGCTTTTCCACAGTCGCGCGGTTCAGTCTGCCCATTGGCCGTCCCTTGGGCCGGAAGCGGGGCTCATATAGATGCTTGGAGCCAGGCGGGAGTTTATCAGTACGTGTACGGATCACTGCGGCTTAGTGTTAGATTCACGACAATTCCTAGCCAAAGAGATGAGGGGGCTATCATACCATGTTGGCCGTTAGGAAGTTCAACAACAAACGGATCGCTCGAAGAAAGAAGGTAGTTGGGCGGTTTGACAGCCAGAATCCCGTCGAGTAGGGTTGAACTTGGATTCTTCAACAAATTCTTTGGAAACCCCTTTTTGGGGAATCCATGCTCATCAAGCTCGGGCAGAACCCCAAAGGGCGGCGCCTCGATCTTCAGCGATTTGGCTTTCTTGACTGGAATCTCAACGGCCTCCCATGATGCCCGACCAGATTCAGCGAGCTTTGCAAAGTGGTTTGCCGAATAGTGGACATAATACATGATGGTCTTTTTCATTGCCATATCCCGAACGATAGCGTAATGGCGGAGATGGAGTGGCTGGGCCACTTGCCATAGGTCGACCAAGCGATGCACCATACTTTCAGCGGGTCTCTTGTAAAAGGATCCAAAGCAGGTCCAGTTGAGTGTCTTGAATTTTGGTTAGCTAAAAGGATCTTCATTTTGCAAATAAGGATCGTACGTGGTTGGTGATGCCTGTTGTGCCTGTTCTTTCAACGATGTCAAAGATCTGGTTGTAGATGTTACGATCCGGTGTCCAAGATGGTACGATGCGTGCAGCATCTCCGGCATGTTCTTTGATAAGATCCATCCCACCGTCCTCGGGACTAAGCGACCTTTTGCCCGCCCCCTCCAGCTCCATGTCCTGATCTTGGTCCGGGGTAAGCTTGGTTCCTTTGGCTCGCACCCCATGCTTGTTCAAAACATCGAAATTAAACTCGTGGAAAAGGTCCAGATCTTTGTTTGTAGGATCTCGTAAAAGTTTCACACAAGGGTGCATTCTTTCGTATTGTGACTCGGCTCTCACGCGTTGTACCACACCTATCCGTTCCCACTTTCGGAGGGCACGGGATAAGACTTTCCAACGCCATTGGTCATCGAAGCCCAGGAGTCGTTTCAAATCATTGCGTGCAATCAATTGATGCTCTCGAAGGATATCGAACAGGCTGGTAGTGAAGCTATCGAAATCGATCATGTTCTTCGATTGCGGTTCTTCCTTTGTTTGATCACTAGTAGTGTGGCGGTAGAATCGCTGCAGCGTGCAGAGGCTCGTTCGGGCCGTTTTTGTTTGAACAGGTCGCTTGTCAATGTAGCCCTTTCTTTGCAAAGCATCGGTACGCTTCGGGACAGACCGTTTGTCCTGGCCACTGATCTTCACCAGGTCCGGCTGCACAATACCCTTTGACTTGCGTGAAGCAATCACCGATAGTAAGGCGAATTCAAGAGGTAATACCTTGGACTCGTCTGGTGAATGACCAGTGATGGCAAGCCAAGCTCTCTCTTCTGAAACAAAGATTCGAAGCGGCGGCAGATTAGGGTTGATGTCTCCGTTATGGTTGACCTCAGCATCATTGCCATTGGAATCATGACTCTCAGTTTTTTGTGAGTCAAGCTGCTCAGCTTCATTCAATGTGAGATGGTTCCATGCATTATGCTGGCCAATAGACACCTCTGGGTTACTCGTGAGCCAGGACCAGACCTTCTCTTTGAAACGACGGTCAATTTTTTGGTTTATTTCAGTCCCATCCGAAGATTGAGTATGGAAATCATCAATGGCTTGAAGTAGATCGGATAACGTTGCGCCTTGGTGTCTGTTAGCATTCTGTAATGTATGTATAGGAATGAAAATGCCCAATTAGGGTTTGAGATGGAGGAGCATTGGCTGCATCACAAGAATGCAGACCCAACCTAGTCATGAGAAAGCCCTGAGAGGAAAAGTATAGCCAAACATATTCCTCTAGGCTTTCGACATAATTTTGGTAACACTGAAAATCCACATGCGATATGACATGCGTCTCCCGGGTGAGGAAAAGTGGGTCCTAGTGAAGAGACTATACACACCTTGATTGCCGCAGAGTGCGACTTCGTTCAGCACGAAATCGATAAGATGTTGTACACCAGGCATGGCTACATCTCTTTTTTTGGAACAGAAATATGGGAGTAAAAAATGCTAAAAGAAAGGTGATGGGTTGTGGGAGAATTAAAGAAGGATAGAAAATTTTTGAAGGGGGGCTCGAACGCGGAGCTCCCAATTCTGCAAAAATGCGATTATCATGTCACATGACCTTATCTTATCTTCTTGCTATGGTGCCTTGATGCCCTGGTGCCTTGGTGCCTTGATGCTTTGATGCTTTGTTTGTGAGGCCTCTTAAATGAGGGTCTATTTCCTTTTGACCAATAAGCGCTACATGCTTATAACAATTCCATTGATTTTAAGTCCTTCCGAGGTTTTTTTGAATCCAAAGTACATTGTCCAAGCAGATACAGGGTATAGTGCAAGATATTGTCGCCACCTTACTTTCAGGACCAACAAACTTTCATGACCATATGCTCATTGAAAGAAGGCTGAGAGAAAGTTCATCTAATATTGTTGTATCTATATAGGTAGTAGGTTGTACTCCGTACAAGGACATACATAAAATGTACATTAATAGATTATCATAAGAGGGGCATTTATGAACAAGCATAAACGGGCCCATATCGGGATCGGCGTTCAAGTGGATCTCACTTTCAGGTCTCCCGAGGCCGATTCCCTGTTTTTTCACATATTTGTGCGTACGGAGTAGTCTGTATAGTTACTCTCCCCTAGCTTAGACATACAAATGTCGACATGTCTACGGAGTACAACATACAGACATCGATTCCATACTCCTTTTGTATTAGATGCTACCATATGTAGGGCTATTAAACAAACTCACTTCTTTTTTAATATAAATGTCAAGAGGCAAATAATACATAGCATGGTAACCTTGCAAAGACTTGGCAAGACGAGCGAAGAGGCAAAAATCACAAAGAAAATAAAGAAACACGAGGTTTAAAGCACTAAGATATCAATTTTGCCCAGGTGGTTTGATGTTTTGAATGACATCATAGGGGCCTTACGTCAGGTACCTCCTACCACAGCTAAATTTGTATGACAACGGAAGTACCTCTCTCCGTTGTTTCCGGCCAAAATTTCCAGGACATTCGCCTCTTCACTTTTCTTGGATTCTTTCTCTCTGGAAATCCATTCAGATTTATTACATGCTCGCCATGTCCTAATCCTCCTTCACCAAACCCCTACCGCGTGCCCTCCCGAACCTATCAACAGCACTATCGCCACACCGATGGAAGAAGGAACCGTCCCAACACCCTCGGAGCCTCCTCCGCTCCCGTACTCGTTGCACACGAGGAAGAAGTCGATCGCCTTTTTCTGGACTATGTTCGTGATTGATACCATGGCTCAGCCGTTGATTCTATATTGGTGTCTTTGGTATCTCACGGACTTATCACCCAATTTGGGTATGTCTTGCGCGCGGAATAGCTATACCCGTTCAAATTGCTAACTTGGATGTGCAGTCTTCTCTATCGTCACCGCATCACTTGGAGGAGTCTCGGTCTTCGAATACTTTTACCGCCTTCACAATTTATTCCGCAAGAAATCGCGCGCACGGCCCCTGAACTCCCGCGTATCATGGGTAGGTGTCGAACTATGACTGATCACGGACCATCAACTGATACCTCTCGATAGCTGGATTTCTTCCAAATCAACTTCACCATTGTATGGTTGATTCTGGCCGTCGAATTGGTCGTGTAAGTCTAACACACGTCATGGAAGCCGTCTCAACAATGAGCTAACAAGTCCGCAGTGGATCAGTTCCTGAAGAACCATATGGTTAGACCAACCCATTATACTATGGTGCCAATTACCTCGTGCTGACCGTTTAAATAGTGCGCCTCATCGCCATGGTCCTACCAACCGTCATGTTCTACTTTGGCATTGTCTACCTTTCTCTCGACATTTTCCGTATGATGGGCTACAAGGCCCCGTTCCGAATTTCTTCCACGCCCAAAGGCTCTGTTATGCCTACTGCATTGTACGCGCTTATTGAGGACGTGGTAGCAGTCGACGGTGGTGGCGGACAGATATATCGATATGCTCTCCGAACTCGATACCTATCGAGTCCTTATTTCCGCCGCATGCTCTTCGAGATGAACTGTTTCTGGAGTGGAGGATCCATTGTCTTCGCCGCAGCCATTACTGCAGTTATTTTCACAGTTCAGGAAAATGTTGCATTTACGGTAAGTGGGAATCAATTCTATCTCGAATTGCAACCAGACTAACCTCAAATACAGCTGGGCTGGACCCTTCCGTTTGCCTGGGCTCTTGTTTGGACCTTGATCACAATTCCCTGGGTTCAAAGTGACCTGCGTCGTGAGAAGAAGGCGTGGGCAGAAAACCGTGGACAAGGCGGCATCCCTTGGGTTGACGATATCAGCGCGCCAACTGCACGTACCCGTTTCGCTTCTGTTCAGGCCAACGTCTGGCCCTGGACTCGTGATAAGCAGAGCCCACCCTCAACGCCATCGGACCACACTGAGAAAATACCTGATGCCCCGGGCGGGGTCTCCAATGAAGCTCATGGCTCTAACGATGCCTCCAGCAGTGCACCTCATGGTGCTCCTGACGTTACTGATGAAACTTACGATGGGGCAACTCTTGCTCCCAATACCGAACCATCTACGGAGAAATTATCCGTGTAATATTTATGCGATTATGGGATGACGTTTTCTCGTTTTGATCGATCTTTTGGTTGCACATGAAAAATGCATTTTTGGGAGAGAGCTTTCTAGATTTTGACATTCTTTGGATTTTATTCTGCTGTTCAGGCTAGTGTCGTTGTATATAGATACCCTCTGCTTATTCTCTGAGAGCATGAATATTTTGTTATTTCATCTAGACTTTGATTTACAGGTTGATTCCATACGTAAAAGAGTAGGCTAATTTGTCGAACATCAAGGAGCTAGTGTTGGTAATTCCTACTCCGTTCGTATGTAGATATTCTCATCTTGCTCAACTTGTGCACTGATATGGTTTGATACTAGACATGGCCGGAGCAACGCGGTAGCAATGGAATAGCGAATCTACTTTAACTTAACTACGCTCTACTTCTATTAAATAATGCTTCTAATAATGGAAAAAAAATAAGTGACAGACAGGTGCTATTCTATTGTCGTTCGGCATTCGGCCCTGGTCTTCGGCCTTGGCCGGAGAGCGAGAGCTTCATGTCGTTCTCTTTTCCTCGACATTCCATTCCGCCTTATCCGCGAGACGGGTCGTTATAAGGCCATCCATGTCTGCTATTATTCCTTTTATTCCCAAGTACATTTTCACGCATTTAACCGTTCTATAATCCAAATCATCAATAATGCTCACTCTCAACATCGCCTATACCGAGCTAGTCAACAGCTCTGATTCCTCTATAACCCTGACCCGAGGACAGATCTGGAACGGCCTGAAATTGAAGGCCCGACGCCCTCAAGACTTCATCCCCTCTTTCGATGACTCCCGAGTTATCGAGGAACGAGATAATGGTTCCTACATCGTAAGGGAAGCACATGTTGCGGCCGATCTCGACGAATCTCCTATGGCCGGAAAATGGATCAGGGAGGAATGCAGGCTGTATGAGCCGGTTAAGGTAAGAGAGCTAGAACATTAGAAACGGCCAGGGCCGTCCTGCAAACTTCGAATTCTCGAATGGTCTAACCAGCGAGTAGACTTACTTCACGCTACCTGGCGGGTCGATAGTTCAGAATATCCTATCCGAAGGACCTGACCAGGCTCTATATCTCACATTTACCTATGAATGGAAGCTGTCCGATATTGAGCTTGGGACTAGTGAGGCAAAAAAGGCGGAGGGTGACCATAAGAAAATTGCGATGTCATCGGTCCAAGGGACAATCAGGGCGTTGAGGAGAATGGCAGAAGGGGACAAACTCTGAATTATAGGAGGAATGAACCACATGCAGGTAAAAGAATAAAAGGCTCTAGAGGGCTAGAAGACATCAGTCATCAACTTCTCGCAGCTAATGATAGCTTGGATAGGATCGAGACTAGGATAAACGGTTACGTTGACGACGCTAGTCCTTTTTTTTTATAGGATAGGCGATTATGGATCATTAAGGGGCTGTTGGCAATTTCTACATACATATGTACATGTATGTAGATATTCCTGTCCCGATCAACCCGTGCACCGGTATGGTGGGATAGTTTGGCCGGAGCAACGCGATAGCAATGGAATGGCGGGGCTAATAGTTTAGCTTAGTTACGCTCTATTTCTATTAATGCTTCTAGCAATTAAAATCTATTGAAATACGAAATTTGTATAGGACAAGTCTATCTTCATATGCATATTAAGGTCTTGGCTGTCGGAAATCTCAACACATTTTAGTCTATCCGACGAGAATGTAACCAAATATATGAAATATACTAAGCTTCAAGATATTTAAACAAGTACTTGCCCAGGTAAGGCTTAAAACATGCCAATGATACCTAGGTAAACAGGCCCAGATTTTCAAGAGATACATGTAACCTAAGAACGTTAGCTCCAGGAAATAGTATGGAAGATCATCTCCCACCAATACGGAGCTATATTGAATCTCATATATAATTTTAGTACTGTAACTCCAAGGCGCTACCTCCCCCACTCCGGGGGCTAAGATCTGCATCGTAGTAATCGGGTCGGATAACATCACATCGGATACATTGTCATAATGGGTTTCAAGTACAAATTTATAAAATGGACTCGAACTACTCGGGTTAGAAAAACAGCAATTCCTAACCATGAAGGGGTCTATCTCAAGATTTCTTCTTTCGGCCTGTGGTCTTCTGTCCGTAGCACGGGCGGTTGATCCATTCACCTACGACAATGATACTTTCATTCTTCATGGCGAGCCCTACCTCCTCCTTGGCGGCCAGATGGACCCGCAACACATCCCCCACGAACTATGGGCCGATCGCCTAGAAAAGGCACGCGGCATGGGTCTGAACACTATTTTCTCCTATGTGTTCTGGGATCAACTTGAGCCAACCCAAGGCAAGTGGGATAACACCGGTAACAATGACATCGCGAAGTACTTCCGACTTGCGCAGGAAAAGGGATTGAACGTGATTCTGCGGCCAGGCCCATACGTCTGCGCCGAGCATGAATGGGGCGGTTTCCCAGCCTGGCTCAGCGAGATTCCGGGCATGGTTGTTCGCGACAACAACAAGCCTTTCCTGGATGCCTCGAAGGCTTTCATCGATCGTCTTGCAAAGGAGGTTGGTGATCTCCAGATCACGAAGGGCGGGCCTATCTTGATGGTTCAAATTGAGAACGAGTATGGATCCTACGGAAGCGACCATGTATACACGAACGCTTTGAAGGATATCTTCACTGCTGCTTTCGATGTACCCTTCTACACCAATGATGGCGGCACCGAGAAAATGCTCAAGGGCGGCCAGATCTCGGGTGTGTTGGCTGAGACGGACGGCGATGTTTATGAGGGATTCGCTGCTCGCGATAAATACGTTACCGATCCAACTAGTCTCGGACCACAGATGGATGGCGAGTACTATATCACATGGCTCGATCACTGGGCTAGCGATTACGTCCACAAGTCCAACGTCGGAAACAAGCAAGCGATCGATAAAATCGTTACCGATGTCAAGTGGCTGTTGAACAACAACGGCTCATTCAATCTCTTCATGTTCCACGGCGGCACGAACTGGGGATTCCAAAATGGAGCGAACTGGGCCGATGAGGTGGAGCCCATCACCACAAGTTACGACTATGGCGCGCCCCTCGACGAAACAGGTCGCAGAAATGATATCTACCTTGCGATCCGAAAAACCATCGCCGAGGTTGTTGGAGAAGACACCCTCCCCGCTCTTCCAGATGAACAACCAATGATTGAAATCCCATCTATTAGGCTTACCCCATCTGTGGACATCTTTGATACCCTCCCAGACCCCATCGAGAAAGAATTCCCAGTCAACATGGAAGCCGTTGGACAGGCGACTGGACTAATCCTCTACCGACATGCCATCACAACTCCCGTGAAGGGCGCAATCAAAACTGGCGATAAACCCCGTGATCGCATCCTTGTCTACGTCAACAAGAAGCGAGTCGGCGTGATCGACGGCACATACAAGACCCCGAAGACAGTCAACCTAGACCTTAAGAAAGGCGATGTTCTCGACGTCCTAGTCGAGAACCTCGGACGTGTCAACTACGGACCCGAGATCGTGGACCAGCGCAAAGGAATTGTCGGCAATGTCACAGTTGGCGAAACTGTTCTTTCCAAGTGGTCGATCTACCCCTTGCCCTTGGCGTCGCCGCCCAAGGCTACCGACAACAAGGCTCCGAAGCCCTCAGCTACTTCAGGCCCTGTCTTCTTCACTGGCTCGTTCGACTTGGATAAGGTTGGTGACACTTTCCTCGAACTCCCCGACTGGACTAAGGGTGTTGTTTGGGTGAATGGGGTCAACTTGGGCCGCTACTGGGTTGTAGGCCCCCAGCAGTCACTTTACCTTCCTTGGTGTTATCTTCGTAAGGAGAAGAACGAGATCACTGTTCTTGCTCTTGAGCCTACGGGGACTGACAGCACTGTTCGCGGAGTCGCTTCGCGTACCTGGGAAAATCACCCCGACCCCGATGCTCCGTGAGATGGGGACAGAATACGGTGATAGCTCGCAAATATTGATAGGAGTAGTCAGAATGAAACACTACAAAGTACAAGCGTATTTCTCCCCGGCAAATTGCTGTTACACCCCGAATCGATATAAAATTTCCCCCGCTGTAACTCTTCGATCCAACATTTGCCGATCAGTGAAGATCGGAGATTAGATCGACGTCAGCGTAGTTCGTGTTTGAATATCTAGTATGTTGTACAATATAGTTTAGAAACACTTCAATATCTCCCTCTATATGGTCAAAGGAACAGTGTGTACATGTACAAGTCACCCCAGGAAACAAGAGGGTGTCAGAAAGATACTAAAATGTTTATAACGAAATGTCCCCTATCGCCTCTATAATGTCCTCGGCCCCCGGTAATAAAAACATGAACCCCCCCATAGACACACCGAAAAAAAATGAAATAACATGAAGTAACGCCTATGTACAGCCCGCTGCAGGTAGAGGGTATCTAGAAGACACGAGGGGCCTGGTGGGAATAAAGAGGTGGTGTACAAGAATCACAGGGTTTTTAAAAGGGTGTAGAGGTATTAGGGAAATTAGGAAGGGAGAGAAAGAGAAAAAAGGGATATAGTGCAAGATAAAGCAAAGCGATCATTTCCGGAATGTCAGCTTTCGGCCGATGTTGCGAATTGTTTTGATGTGACTATCGTCGAGTAAGTTTCTTTGCCTTGGTAATATGTGAGCAGACCTCATCCATACCTGTCATCCTGGTCATTCTTGCCAGCTTGAATCGTAGTCACGGTGTGACCAGAAGTCATCGGCCTCTCGGGTGGAGGGGGATTAACGAATCGACGCGATGCCTAATCATTATGTGTTAGCATTCGGAAACTTTCACAGTGACACGATGAGGAAAAAATACGAACCTCCCAGCGAGAATCCACATCCACCTCACTAGCGGATCGCGAGTCATGGATGGTGGGATCTGAATAATTTACGGCGTGGTCTGAACCCAGTGAGGTGGACCTAGCCAATGGGGAGGCATTCGACTGCATGGATTTGCGTGAGCGTGACTCTGAGTAATCGCTGTTAGAGTCATAACTGGCCAGGCTTAGGGATTGGCTACTGTTCGGGTTGATCAAGCTGGATGTATTTGGCAGGAGTTGAGACGACGATGCAAGCTCACGGTAACGCTTCTGTTGCTGCCTCGAGGGTCGGTGGTGGGAAAACTTGTTACCAAGAATGGCAGGGGCGTGCGAGATAAGGGCTTTGATCACGTCTTTCTTGAGGCGCAGGGCAAGATCCAGGTTCGACCATGTCTTGTTGCCGTATTCAAGGACTGGAAGGCGGAAGACGAAATCATGGAGATCCTCCAGGTTGTGCTCTCCTTTGCCCTTGTAACTCATGCAGAGAACCACATCATTAACCTTCACATGTGCGAGGGTCATGAAGTTGGAGGCGCGGGAGATCATTTGAGACAGGTCATCGGTCGGCACTTTGGATTTGCCGTTCTTGCTGGGTCCTTTACCTATTCCAAACTTCTTGCGGCTCTCTTCGCCAGCACTGTGGCTAGACAGAGATCTTTCAGTGGGCTGTTTGGTCAACATGCGCAGACTATCCGCAGACTTCTTTTTGCTGAGACCGCCAGTCGTAGCGGGACGGCCCGTTTTGCGCGCGGTTTCTGATACACCCAGTCGGTTACTATCCTGGTGGAGTGGTGTCATCATAAGACCCTTCCGATGGCCTGAGCGATTACGCGATTTGGTCTCATCTGAAAGCGACAGTGTAGGCTGGAGTCGTAGTTCGATGGCACCCGGTCCCTTGGAGATGGCAAGACTGTCCATAGACGAGCTATCACCATCGATACTCGTTGAGCGTGTCAGTGGCGTACCGCTTGAGCCTTCATCGTCATCTTCCTCATCCGAGCCTTCGTCAAACACCTTCATGTTCTTGATCATAAAGGGCGAGAAGCCACCAGCCTCAAATGCGCTAGAGCCCACGTTGGGGAAGATATATTCGAAGACTTTCTGGCCTAGCTCACGTTCGAGCTGAATCTTAAGCGGGAACAATGAAACTTCGAAGTTGTCAAGCACGGGGATACCGGCGACAGCCTCCAGCATGTGCCATTTGATGCGCAGCATGAAATCGTCCAGGGTGCGTGTGCCGTCGAGGTAGGGTGCGATGATTTGAGGATAGATAGCGTCTGGAAGCAAGTTCAATCCGAATAGTCGCTCGATGGATACCAGGTTGTGGTTTGACCCATCAGTATTGTCGGTTCGTTCGTACGAAGCATTGCGCAGCTGGAACTCAATCAAGGGCTCAGAAGCCTCCTTCATCAGGTGCCACACGACCTCACTCGCAGATATGCTCCAACGCAGTACGCCATGGGCACCGGCTGCCCTGGATGAACTTGGCTCCATTCGCCGTTGGGAAGTTGTAATTGCCTTCATCATGAAGAAAAGCTCATCCTCGCACTGACACAAGTCGCGTTCGAGAGCCAGCCGATCTTCCCAGCCCTGTTTGTCTAGGAATTTGGCGTTGATCTGGAAGTACTCTTTGATTTCTTCCAATTGCCGAATGCGTGCTTGAAGCTTGAACACCATTTCCGGGGCACCACGGAGGTCACTGAAGTCGGAAGTGAGCATGATCCTCTCCAAGCGCTCATTCCGGACCTTTTCGAGTGGTTCACTATAGAGCATGAGATCTAGGACAATGATGTACATGGAATAGTACTCTGCAGAATCACAAATCGCGCGGAAATGAGGGAAGTCGACACTGATCGAGTCTATACGGTCTTCCTGGTCATCAGGATGAGGCCCTTGCTGACCCGTTGCCACCTCTTCATTATACTTGAGGCGGAGGTTGTTGAACTTGTCGTAACGCAGAGTAGCAGAAGTCTTTTGCACAATACGAGAGAATCCAAACGGATTCAACTCGAAATCGAACATGGCTTCCAAAGTCAACCACGGCGGCCACGCTGATCCGGGCGCATTTCCATATTTATTGCCAGCATAGAATTGCAAGTTCGCCATCAATTTCTTCTGAGTTGCAACGAAGAACTGGGCACCGTCCATTTCGAGGAAGAAACGGCGCTGTATCAATCCGCTAACGTCGTCCGCAACACGCGCTTTGTCCATAATTGACACGACCTTGAGTTCCATGCCTTTAGCGGCAACAAGCAAAACCGACTTCTGGTTCTTTTCGCTGAGAAGCTGAATTTGAGGCGCTATCAGACGCAAGTGGTAACTGTTCTGGGGAGTGAATTCCGGCACAATATTCTCGCTCGAATTGTCCGAATGGGAAGGCGAGGGGGAGTTCGAGTCTGATTGGGGATTCGAATCTGATGGGGGGTTCGAGTCTGGTGGCTCACTCTCTTCGACATTCACGAAGCGTTTAGCATCATTCAACAACTGTGAGATACGCTCTCCGACCTCCTCCTCATTTCCATCGTTGTAAGAGGTTTCGGTGTGCGTCTTAGACATCTTGGGCTGCTTACGCTTGTTCTTATCCTGCTCCTCCACAATATCAAGGATAAATTTGACAGCGCGGCGAGACATGTAGTAAACAAATCCACGACGTTGGCTCACTTGGTGACTGTATCGCAAGATGATGTTGCGGAGCGAATTGTTCCATTTGAGCTGCACGTTATGTATCATGAAACGATTGTTGAAATCACTGGAGAACTCATCATTGCCCGACGAGTAAAGTCCGTCCATGCCTGAAGAACGGCCATCGGTTGTGGACTCAGCATACCGACCTGTGTGTCCTGTTCGAGAAGAAGCAGTGCTGGGTGCAACATTTTTGCCAAGCGTGCTGCCATATGGTGTCCGTTCGTCGCGGGAGATGTGCCTCTCAAGACGATTGAGAGTTGTGGTCAAGAACTTGCGTCGTCTTGCCAGGGACTCGGACTGACGAAGGAATATCTCATGCTCAGCTTTCAGGTCTACATTGCTGTCCACCTCTCTCATGAGCTTGAGTTCCATTTCCCCAATTGTCCGCTCAAAGTCGCGAATTTGTGCCTCTACTGTTGCCAGGCGGTCTTTGACCAACTCGATCTGAACTCGGCGAGGATCATTGGTTTCAGACATAACACACTCGTGAGTCGGTTCATATCCAAAGGTACTGTAGCCCGTTTCGTCAGGTCCAATGTCGCCATGATCTGTGTTGCGGGTGTAGGTGAATCGTGGGGTAAAGGCTAAAGGCAATATCTGGGTACGAGGATTCGACTCCTGTGGGAGAATCCAGTCCGGCTCCACGAAATCATCCATGTCAACCCAGTCCAGGTTTTGATCAGGGATAGTGAACCGAGACAAGTCAACTGATGCAACAGGTTGCTGGAAGGAAGAGAGGATGTCGTCTCTGTTGCGCTCAACGTCTTCCGAGCTTGTGCCTTCAATGCTAGCTGACACGGCGCGGAAGTCTGCAGATTGCATATCAATTTGTGCTTGATTAATACGCATCGCGCTTGTCCTGGTCTGTTTTGAACGGCCACCGGCATGTGTTTTGATCTGCTCACGACGTTGATGAATATCAAGTTTCAAGCAATCAAGACGAACCTTCAGGCCCGTGGCCGTAACAACTCTCTCTGCGTAATCTTCACGGTCCTTGTGTTTGTAAATGTGGGCCACGAACAGAGGTGCGAGAAGAATCTTGTATTTGACAGTCGCCAAATGACGATTGAACTTCTTGCTCGTCTTTGTGACTCCTGGCCAAAGCGGCCCTTGGCGAACAGGAAGGGACATCACACCCGAGAAAAGAGACCACCAGTCAAAGAAGTGGGTGAAGAATCGTGGTGAGAGATGGATAGTGTTGTAGCTCGAAGACGGTTGAACATTGTCGACAGACCAGTTTCTATTTTGAGGTGCAATAATCGAGACGGAAAGGTGAATGTGGTCACTCCGGAAGCCACGATAAGCATCATAGTTAACACGCTCCGATGGCGTGACGAATTTAGGGTTCTTAAGAACGACCTCATAATGTGGTTTGAAAGAGAAGGACCTCGCATCATTCTCAACATCCCGCTCGAAGACGA